GGGCCTGACCCGTGCGCCCCCATGTGCATTGGTGGGTCTGGCCCGTGGGCCCTAATGGGCATGGGTGGTTCCGGCCCTTGGGCCGTAATGTGCATCGGTGAGTCCGTAAAACCTGGCGCAACTATGACAATCAGTAATGGGCATGGGTGGGTCAGGCCCTTAGGCCCTCATGTGCATGGGTGGATCCAGCCCATGGGCTCTCATATGCATGGGTCGGTACAGTCATTGGGCCCTCAGGGGCCATAGAACCTGGTGCAACTATGACAATCGGTAAAGGCAGTTCAACGAAGAAAATCAGTTGCATTGTACATTGGGTGTTACTGTAAGATTTTGTTGAGCATGGAAGTGGCACTGCAAGATCTTATTGAGCATGGAAGTGGCACTGCAAGATCTTGTTGAGCATGGAGGTGGTATTGCAAGATCTTATTGAGCATGGAGGTGGTATTGCAAGATCTTATTGAGCATGGAGGTGGTATTGCAAGATCTTATTGAGCATGGAAGTGGTACTGTAAGATCTTATTGAGCATGGAAGTGGTACTGTAAGATCTTGTTGAGAATGGAGATGGTACTGTAAGATCTTGTTAGTTATGTGGTAATTATCTTAACTATGGATAATGCTGAACCGGGCTGAGCCAATATTTGTTGCCTCCCCTTATGAACAAAATTTTGCAGTTGGTCTAAAATGCAGCCTCTCAATATTATTTTTTTTTAAAAGTGCTACCCCCTACGCCCTTACCTTTTTAAGCCACTGCATGGTGTAGTACTATTAGATCTTGTAGGGCATGTCGGTGTAGTACCATTAACTTATAATCCTAGAGGAATAATCCCTGGCCTTATGAAATTCGTCCTGCGAAGTCCACACCCTCGTCACATTGTGACGGACGGATGCCAGCAATATATATTTATATCGTTTTAAGCTGACGTGCCCATAACAACACTTGATACAAATTTACAGGGAAAACAATAATTATTATCGATTTCATTGTGTAATAAAAACCCAGGGAAATGAGAAACCGCACTAGAGATCCAATCCATAAAATAAAATAAAGCAAGAAAGAATAAGACCTTTTTTTAAAAAAAAGTATGTTACGTCTAAATAGTTTTGTACTATATCTTTGTGGAGCTTAGCTTTTTTCACAAATTATCATCTCAGAAATGACATCATCAGCCCGATGTTGTTCAGTAATCAAAACTAAGAGAAGGCCCCCCCCCCCCAACCCTCCCATCTTCAATAATTTTTGATCTCCTTCAAGGTCAGTGTCCTCATCTGCTTTGATCGCCTCTAGTTTTTGTTGTTAATGGAGGTAGCCTGAACAAAGTAGCGAGAATTGCCACACTTGTAGCCATTTCATGTTTGGCGGAAAGATATTTTTAAAACTACAATTGTAGCTCTAAGTAGTTATTATAACAATTAAAGACCACAACACCAAACGGGTCAAGATGGATACAATCAACAACGAAAATCTTACAATGCTATGTCAACGCAGCTGGACGACGACGCGTTAGGGATATGCATTAAAAACTCACGTCCATGTAGAACGCACTGGGTAATCGGATTCCAAGGCAGTGCTTGGATTTCGAGCAAACATCTGCCTTGGATGTACTTTCAGATTCCAAGTTGTTCGAGTTCTTTGCGCGTTCTGTTCCGTGTATTTTAAATGTTTCAGTCATCGCATCGGTGAAAACGCATCTGTCGATTTTTTACTCTGTAATTTCAGCTTGATAGTGATTAGGGCTCATCCCCATTAAAGCATATTCGGCTTTCATGTTACACTTTTCTTAAGGGTAGACTTATGTTAAAGACTGAAAAATACGTTAGCATATTTGATGTTAATGAAACTTATCGAAAGATGTATTTTAACATTGTAGGAATATAATTGTTTAACTTCCTGATTATTGTTGAAAATGTCACTAAATTAAAGCCAAGTTTATAAAAAAAGTAGGCCCTTCTTAAACCCCAAACCCTAATAAAATCGTTGGCCTACATTTTGCTCAAGATCTGAAAATGTGTTAAAATTATGAAGAGTTAATTTAGAAAAAAACATCATTATGATTTTTAATTTTTTAATTTAGTGTATCTTGGAATTTTCCCAATTTTACATATTATTTAGACCTGACCAATGGCATTTTTGTTACTTTTACCTACATATTTCTCATTGTCTTAAGGGGTCATCCATAAATGACGTCACGCGTCTAAAAGTGGGGGAGAGGGGGGTCAGATTTTTGTGACGATGTATGACGAGGGGGAGTGGGGCCCTCAAGCCAGGTGACTTTATTGCGGAATATTGCAGTCAAGAATTGCACTTAATAACCCTTACATTACAGTCATTTTTAACATCATTTTTCTAAAACAACAATTATAATTATTTTATTTTTCAACGACGATCACCGAGAGAATCAGAAACAATTACCAATCCACGCAACGCGCCAATGAAATTCACCAGAAAAATATTTACTGCTGCAAAGCAAATGCATCAAACTTTTTTTTCTTTTTTTTTTAAAGCAGCAACAACTAGCAGTGGCAGCAAACACAATCAGTGGCGTAGCTAGGGTTGGTGTCGTCCGGTCCAGTAAGCTCGTGGTGTCACACCCCCCCCCCCACACACACACACACTTTTTCCACGATGCAATTCTTTTTGTTAAACTTAGTCCACAGTATAAGAACACAAAAGCAAATTAATTTCAGGTCATACGCTTAATGAATTTGAGAACTGTAGCTTGTAGGCCTACTTAACGCCCATTGTTGTCAAATGATAGTTTTATTTCTCAGAATTGAGATAAAAATAGCTTCCTGCCCATTACCAACGTTACCGAACTCTTCATTGGGCGGCGTTGAAACATGGTCAAAACGGTGTGGTTCTGACCGAATAATAAGGTACTCTAATTGCTGACGCATCAGCCTTGAAGTTTTAATATGAATGAAACACGCATTTTGATTGGTTACACGGGTGGGAAATGTACGCGTCATTTGTTATCATTTTATGTGTTTTGGTTCTAGTCGACTTCGACGGACGAACAACACACAATGTGTTTCGGTTTGACCGACCAGTGTGTGTGCTCTGTAATTACGCTGTCTTTCAATTGGGTGTCACCCCCTGAATACGCCACTGGATACAATTTTCTGGTCTCCCACACCTCAGGGCTGAGGAGGTACTTGTTGAGAACCACTGGTTGAGAACCACTGTTCTAGTGAAATGTTTCTGACACGGGTGTCCATGGGAGGCACATTTCTTTTTAGGGTTTGTAAAGGACAGTAGTGGACACATGGAATTTTAAAAAAAAAAGGGGGGGGGGTTTGCAGAGATTTGTGACGTAAAATATGAGGTCTAACTTTTTGTGACGATGGGGGCCAAAGGAGGGGAGGGGGGATGGTGTCAAAAATAGGCAAAATTAATTATGGTAATAAACAAGGAAAAACAAAATCCATGGGAGGCACATTTCTTTTTAGGGTTTGTAAAGGACAGTAGTGGACACATGGAATTTTAAAAAAAAAAGGGGGGGGGGTTTGCAGAGATTTGTGACGTAATATCTGAGGTCTAACTTTTTGTGACGATGGGGGCCTAAGGTGGGGAGGGGGGATGGTGTCAAAAATCGGCAAAATTAATTATGTTAATAAACACGGAAACACAAAAGTTTACAACATTGGCTTTCAAAAATAAAAATAATCAATAAATACATTATTTCACAACAAATAAACTCTACTTAATCTGAATCCAATTTACTAAATGAAATTTAAAAAAAGGAAACTTAACTTTTAATAGCTAAAAAAAATACCAAAAAAACAAGTTACTAATTAAAAAGATGATTATAGCGAAATAAGGTGGAAAGTGCCGTAATAACTGTTTACATCAGTGATAGTTCAATTAGTTCAGGTACATTTTTTGTTTTTTTGTTTTGTTAGCTGTGTTGCCAACATGAACGTATGAAAAAATATCGTCTTTAAACTGGGATTGGCGTGTAAATAGTTAAATTTATATGAAATTTTAAAAAATTCCTCATATAAATTATAAAAAAAGCCTAAGTAAGCTACCGTGGTCATTTAAAAACACAAGTCATTAATAGGCCTACTAGGCCCACTAAACATTTTTTTCTTTATTGGGCCTAGTAAACATTTTTTAAAATAGCTATTGACAGATGAATCTATATGACTGAATAAAATCAAAATTCCTTGTCATCGGACAGTTGTTTTGTTTTTAGGATTTTTTTTTTCAAAATATTTATTAAAAAGCCTGACATTTAAAAAAATAATAAATGCACTTATAATTGATAATCAGCAACTTTGAGTGAAAAATAAACGATTTTGTCGAAGAAAAAACAACAATAATTTACATGTTAAAATTTAGCTGACCTAACATTTAGGTAAACATGTAATATATTACCTTTCCATTAATGAGGCTTGTCAATTTTAATAAAATTCAATTAAAAACCAATATACTTATTTTAAACATACATCATATTCCAATACACGCAATAGGCTATAGGGCCATCAAGGTGCCCTTTTTAAACACCCTGCCACTTTTCGGTTTAGTGCGCCTGTATTCAGATATGTTATTTAAAATTTTATATTTATCTTACATCAAAACAATAGGCCCCTTAAATATCCGAGACTACCTACCTGCAGTCGCAGGGCGCACGCGACTGCCCTGCGTGTAATATGCCTATATAAATTTGTAACACCATGGTTACAATTTAAAGATATCACAAATAAGACAAAAATGGAACAGCCTTCATTCTTTGTCTTAAATTTACGGACTTTTATAAACGAAAGATATATTTCAATAACAATTTTTATTTTTGTGACACATTTTTATAAAACCCGGCTTGCAAAAACTTACAGTAGGGTACATGGTTTAGAAATGTCGATATCAGCGGCGATAAATTATGGGTCTAAGTCTAAGCTTTTACCGCGGTCGTAAACACAGTTATCTTATTTGCCAAAATCTGGCCTTTCCGTTACTCATCGCTTCCAGCTCTAAAAATAAATATTGTTTTTTTTTCTCAGGAGAATCCTTGCTAACTTTTTACATTGAATACAATGTCCTTAACCCGTGCAATGTTTACAAATGCGGATGGGAATTCACATCCACAATGAAATCTTTCAAATTATTTAGTCATTGATATATCATGGCTACAAATGGTCCTGAAAGCTCACAGTGGCTTTCAGTTACCGAGGAAACGTTATTTCTTCATGATGGACTTCTTCGAGTTACTGATTTAGTAGAGCTACCTAAAAATGTAGAGAGTTGTGGTTCAAGGGAAAACGAAGTTGTCACTTTCGATTCTAAAGATCCCGAAGAGCTTAGTGCCAAGCTCTTGGAAATATGTGGAACAAGAAATAATGCATTTAACACACTTTTAGAATATAGACTGAATGCCCTGAAAGGACTTTGGAAAGCACAGAAATTATTCTGCCAAGATGATCAAGGTGACAGAGATGGTTCAGCTCAAGATGAAGCCATTGCACTATTAAAAAAGCAAGGTTTGCTGAAGGACTCAGAACAAGCATCCTTTTCTACACGTATTAGCCTTTTGCTAATTTTACCTTTGTTGCAGTCTCAAAGCAAAACAGACCCTGAATTATGTGGTGTTACATCTGGGGTGATTCTTAGTTGTTTGCATGACTGTCCTCCTTTGAGTTTGGCTAAAGAGCCAAGTGACTGTTTAAATGGATTAGAATCTCTTTTATGCGGATGGCTTGGGGAGCCACCACCACCAAATTCTCAAATTGTACCAGTTGTGAAAGAGAAAAAACATCAAGAAAATGCAGCTGCTGCGTTGGTTGCACTTGCTTGTGCCAGGTAAGAATTTGAGTGAGACTATTTTGTCTCTTTTGCATAATCTTTATTTAATTTACTAGCTTATTCCTTGAATTTCAAAGACACTGCAACATTAAATAAAAATAAAATATAAAAATTTATAAGGCAGGAATTGGGGGTAAGGCAAGGCTCAATTCATTTATGAATAATTATTATTTATCTTTTGTTTTTATTGCAGAGGACATGTTAAAACTTTTATCCATGCAGTTCACTTACTTCAGCAACTTAAAGATATACCTCCTTTGCCAGTTGCTGACATACTTTCATCATTGCTTGAATGTGAAGGAGGCCAGGGACAAATTTCATCTTTCCTAGGCTCAAAATATATTCTAAGTTGGGGAGTAGATGACCTCCTAGGTCCTACAAATGCAGATACAGCTGCATCTGAATCAAAAGAGAGCAATGAAAAGGACAAGGAGAAAGGTAAACAATTTATTAATTGAAACTTTTAACTGAACTAATTTTTTTCCAGATATTTTAATGCTAATAAACAGAAGAGGGTAACTAGTTTACTAATGAAGGTTTTTATTCTCTGGGTTGAGTGAAGGTATGGTCTTTTCAGTTATAGGAGTTTTCACCTAATGGTCTATGTTAGGAAACCCCCATCATAATTTAGATTCAACAAATAAAAAAAAATGTTAATGTCCTTTTTAAATTTTATACAAGCTTTTTATGGACATTGAACTGAATTACTAATTTTTGTTGTTTATAGATCAAGACCTTGGAAGGAGCATAACAACAGATGGCTTTTACATATACACAACCAACAGTTTTGGCAAAGGAATTGCTAAAGTAGGAACTGGTTTGCAGGGAACTCTCAGGTAACTAATATATAAATAATTACAACAGATAATTATTTATTTATTTTAAACTTAGAAGATGTAGGACTTAATTATAAAATTAGCTGTTTTTAATTATAAATATGTAATGTCACAATGCTCATCCCATAAAAATGAATTATGATATATAAATAATTGGATGTGTTAATTTTGGTATTTTTTCAGTTATCTTATCATCATATTCAGTATGCTAATTATATAAGCACTTATTTATTTTTTTAATGTTAAATTTTGTTACAGAGGTTATGTTTACAACAAAAACACAGAGCCTGGCCCAGGAAGATTAGCTTATGGGTCTGGACTTCTCTTGTTTCGACCACAGAAGTATGATGTTGAAACAGACAATGAATGTTTTATTCAAATGATTGACAAAGACACTTTAGAGGTTACTATTTAGTTATCTATTATTTAGCATTAGAAAGGTGTGAAATTGCCATAACACTTTATATCCACATAAATAGTGGAACAAGATATATTGAGGCTTCAAAATTGTCCTTCCTTTACTTTTCTTGTCAAGACTTAACAAATCTTGTTCCACTTGTTATTTAATTCACACAGCTTTGAACCCAGTCCCTCATATATTATACTATATCATTAGAGTGCCTAGAGTAAAAAAAACTTTCTATCCACATGTCATTTTCACCCGGTACGGTGAAAAATAAAGTTATAAGACAGTAAACTTAATAACTTTATCAAGTTGGGCGATATTCATTTATTTAGTTAATTAAAATTAAAATAAATACAGGAATCTGTATTAATACAGCTAGAATAATTAATCTATGAATTATCTTTAATTAAATCTACATTGCTATTAATTTATCGTCTGGATCCATTTTAGACAAAATTGCCATTTGATCAGTGTGAAAGAAAATCAAAATTTGATGACAATCGGACTTTAAAAAAGATATTATTATTGAACAATTGTAGTTTATCCATTTAGAAAGAAAATACATGTTTGAATGCACAGTTATGGGGACAATATAAATGAATGTTCTTTTGGCTATGTTATAAGGACACAGTTTGGCATGCTGTTGATGGTTAAACACAATATTGACTTGTGTGGATATTAAGTGTTAATGTCATTGATTTTTAAAAAAAAAATTTGTCACTAAAAATATATGATTATGAATTTGACATGACAAGTTATTTTGAAAAAGGCCAGCAATGTTGATTTTGTAACATAAGCAATGAAGTTGGTCTAGTTAATTATACCACATTTAGGATTTTGTAACTCTAAAATATATTTTGACATTTCAGTGATTGTTTTGACTCTCATTTTTTGTGTGCATCTATGTGCTTAGGTTCTGAAGGTCATCTACAAGCCACCTCTGTTTGTCCAGCCAGTTCAGTGCACAACTGTAGGCTTTTTCAGTGACGGTGTCTACTTTTACTTGCTCTGGTGCCCTGCACTTGTTCAGGACAAAAACACCAAAGGTGTCAATGTAAATGTGTATGCCTTTGATGTTGAGGTCAGTTTCAGACTCAGTTTTTAACATGTTTTTCTATTCAACTGTTGTAAATTGTAATACACTTTATAGAGGCTAAAAGTAATTCTTTAACTCCTATACCAGTTATAAAATTCATGTACTTTTATGCTAATTGAAGAGTTTTGAGATTAATTAGAAAAACCTTTGAACATTTCTGGTATTTTGAAAAGTATTATTTGGAAAGGAGGTGAAAAAATTAAAGAGAGTTACCAAATATGTTGACAGAATCTGCTGATGAGCATTAATTTAAATTAGCACTGCAAGTTAATTTAAGAAAACAACCACGTTTAAGAAGATATAGGGAGAGAATAAAAGTGTTGATTTTCAAGATCATCAAGAAAAGCCAGTATTTTTACACCACTTTTGCAGTTTTGCCCATTCATACATTGTGTGAATAAAATTTAAGACATTTAAATATTGCAACCAAAGTTAATCATGGAAAACTTGTTAAACCTTACCAAATTAATTCTAATCAATGTCTCTTTCTTAGTCTATTCACATTGTATCTTTTAAATGCTATAAATTGTTAGCATGGGTCTTGAACTTGCATAGTGGTGATTTATGGATTTGGAATCAAAATTGGTTTTGACCCAAAATCATTATTATTTTAAAATAATTTAATATCTTAAGATTCTTTAAGTTGCTTTCAAATTTTGTTATTGATATTTGGTATTTTCATTACTATTTTTATTCATTTCTGATTCAAACACAGAAAGATTTAGATGTCAGATCACTTAGGCAAATCATAACGCTACAAAAGAAAGAAGAGGCAGTTAGCAGAAATGTCAATGAGGCAATACTCAACAGGCTGAGGCCTTTAAGGGGTTCAAACAGTGCGGCCACCTTGATGGCACTGACTGGTGGTGAAACTCTCATTCCAACAAGGAAAGAAGACGGTATGTACAGGCTAGGATTTTATTTGATAAATAATTGATAAATAAACCTTAGCTTTTAAAAAAAATAATATAACTTTTTAAAAGAATAAATAAAATCTCATTGGTAACACAATTTTTAATGTAGATTTTTAAATTGCCATTTTTGGTTTTGAAAGTAAAATCAAGATCAAAAGTAATTATATTTGACTTTTCTAATTAAAAAAAATTGAAACTATAACTTGAAGTACAATTAAGTTTTAAAACCAATGAAATCTGACTGTGAGTTTCCTTAATACCTTTGTTCGTCCCCAGTCCCCAGTGCTGGAAGTACAAGCTGTGGTGTACAGCTTAAGACTTTGGTTAAGACACCAATGTACTGTGACGGGAACCACATTGTTATGCTCACCGTGCCCCCTGGCTCGGCACCTGGAAGTGCCAGCAGACCCCTTTTTGGAGGAGGGGGCCCAATATCAAATCTCAGATGTGAGTTGGAAATGTGCTAAAGATCAAATGAACAATGTATTCAATATTGTTTTGTTGTGCCTTTTTGTCTTGAGGACAGTGATGTAAAGAAAAGAAAAGTACACTGGACAAATTCACACAGTAACTTAAGAATTGGTGTGTGGTCTTGATGGGGGGAAGTTTTTGTATCGTCAGGAACTTGTATGTTTTTCATGGGGGGGGAGTTAAAAAAAAATTAACGGAACCTATTCCTAAAATTTATTTTACAAAAATATAAGCACAAACAACCGAACTCAGAAATGGATGTTATAAATAATAAGTTGAGCCATCAAAACACATAACTGATATTAAATCTTGAGATTAAATGTTGTGTTTTGTTCCAGCCCTGGCCAGCAACATGTGTTTCAATGTGAAAACAGGTTTCTTCAGTTCCCGCATGGATCTGATGGAGGCCAGCTCAAGTTCTGTTGGAAGGGGGACACCTCTGACCACTCTCGGTTTGTCATCTTCACGGTTCAGTGACATTTAAAAATATTTTTTTTGGTTCCAAGAACTTCAAATTTTTAGGCATTTATACATTAAAAATATTGAAATACAGTCTCCACTTAAACCCTAAGACAGTCATAATGGCCGATAAATGGCTGTTATACCTGTTTCTGTGGTGTCAAAGCTAGTAAAATTTCCATTAAAAATGTATATTGGTTATGTGGAAATCACTCTATATAAATGAATTTGCTTTCTATTCATTTTTCTATCTGTGTGTTAACTTGCTATTATCAGAACTTGTTTTGTGATTAATCGGATGTAAAATTTGCGCAATGTTTATGACTGCCATTATGTCTGATACTGGAGAGGGCTGCCTTTGGCTTGCAATATCAACACAGAATTCCTTTATTGGAATTATTTCAAAGGGGTTACAATGAAAACAATGATTTCAGAGTTATTCCATGTGCTAGTAATGACAGTATTAGCTCTAGCAGTGACATAAGAGTCAGATATTAACAATTTTAGCCCTAAGCATAGTCATATTGTCACATGAAAAATGTATTTATAATTTTAATTGAAAAGGAATTTTTTTTATTAATTTATTGTTTTCCCCTTTTGTATGACAGAAATTTGAAGGTACCGGTAGTAAATGAAAAAAAATCATAAAAATTACATTGTTGAAACTAAGTATCTATAACTTAACATGTTATGAAAGGATATTTCTTTATTTATCTAAAAAACCTGTGGAAATGATAGATAGAACACAATAGTGAGATTGGGGTGGGTTGAATGCAGAAGTTGGGTGGTAAAATTTCACTCACCCTGTAAAGGTCAATATCAACATGCATGCCATAAAAAAAAATTCTTTTCATACAATAAGATGCCTTGTCAACATAACTTTCAGGAAATGTATGTTTGTTAGGGTCTCTGAATTCATTTAGTATGGGATTTTGTCATTTTTGACAAGCTTATGAAAATGCAAAGAATGGCTTGACATTACAGTACAGGAAAATGTACTTGAGAGTTCTATGGTTAATTTAAAAGAAGACACTGGTTTGTTTTCAAACACAAGGGTAATGTTTGTTTTTCTAAGAATGCTAAGGTTGGAAAAGAGAGTGTTAACTCTCATAGAAGACCTATTGTAAATATGTAAGGGATACACTTATCTCTCATATAAGGCCTCTTTTACATAAAAAAAAGACCTTTAACTCTCATAGAAGACCTATTGTAAATATGAAAGGGATACACTTATCTCTCATATAAGGCCTCTTTTACATAAAAAAAAAGACCTTTAACTCTCATAGAGGACCTATTTTAAATTTGAAATGGATACACTTATCTCATAAGACCTTTTCTATGTTCTAGGAGCCTGCTTTGATATTGTCAACAACATGCTGTGGATTTCTAGTGGAGAGTATGTGGACCAGTTCTACAACCCTGGCAACCTGCCGCCCCATCACATCCACTCGAGGCTTGGTATTACCGAGACATCTCTGCAGGGCAACCTTGATGGTAATTGTCAAATACAAATTTTTCTAAAATACAATGGTGTCTCTGAGTCATTTCCCCCCAGGCCCCCAGCTTATTCAACATATGGGACTTGATCCTGGCGATGTTAGCATTAAACTGTGGTGCCCTGGAGCGGTATGTTCATCACATCAGTCAACAATAAAGCAAATGATTGCAGTGGTGTTTTATGAACTCAGTTATTGTGGAGTTTTTTTTAGTAACCCTGTCTGTTTATCAGGATAAAAACATTGTTGAATAACATTTAGTAGGTAACTTGTATATATATATATATATTATAAGTTCACAGTGATTTTCAAAAAAAAAATCATGCTGATTCTCAGCTCATAGTTGATCCTCTTCTGTTCGTATTGGCTCTAATGACATCACATGATGTTTGAAGCTACGACCCGTTTGAAAACCACTGACGTCAAGATCGTGACTACCGCATAATCCGAATCAAAAGAGTTTTAAAACTAACAGATCATTAAATTTGGATGGACCATGATCAGCATTACTCCGATCAATAAGTGCTAGGAAAACATTTCAATTGAGACGTGGCGTTAAAAATAACAAGCTGATGGAACTGAGATCATATGAACATTCAGACACACTGAAGACACCTAAATGTAACGGATCTCAAACGAGGACCAAGAAACTAGCCTGTCCAGAGGATTTACAAGGTGCAAAGTGCTATAGAGCTCATTATATATATATCAGCAGCATCATTACAATAATAGAAACTCTTGTAGTTATTTTCTCCAGAGTGTTTACTTCCCCTATACCTTCTATCATTGGAGGGGGGTTGTCTTGTCACTGTCTTCCTTGATTTTCTCATGTGCATTTCCAACAGGCCATTACCTAATGCCCGTCAACAGTGCCATCAACACTCTCTTACACAATGTGGCCAGTATGTGTCTACATCAGATGACCGGAGATGCTTCACAGAGACACGGCCAGGGCAATTGCAACAGCTCCTGTCCCCCTGAGGCACCCATGGACCTCTGCCACCTGACCCGTGTCACTGACATACTGGGTAGAGCTGTCAATGACGTAGATGAGCAAGCCATCATCTGTTGTTTGGTTGTGTTACAGGTATACAGAGCTTTAGATAATAGGTGCCTTTTTGTTTGGACAGACATACACTTGTCCTTACTACTGCAAACACTGAAATAGCCAAGTAATCACTTATTGTATTTCAAGCCATTGCTTTTCCTTCCCAATCTTACTTAATGGAAGAATTGATGTTGACCAAGTTTTTCCTTGTCTGACAGCACATCTTTAAAACAAGCCAGAGGACAAGTGATGTCAATCAAGTCAGTGAGCAGATGAAAACCACCAGGTCATTTTTTATATCAAATCTTAAGTTAAGAATAATTACATAGTTTTTAGGGCAAAATCTTTCATAGAGTTTTATTTTGCACTCTAGCTCAGGCCTGCACAACTCTAAATGTAAGGCGGGCCGTAATACTTTATAAAAAACTTGTGCGGGCCCAAAGATAATAGGACACGGGGGAAACGTATTAAGAAAATAATAGTAATAAAGAATATTTCATTACTTCGCGGGCCGCAAAGTGGGTGCTGGCAAGCCGGTGGGCCGTATGTTGTGCAGGCCTGTTCTAGCTGTTTAATTTTAAAAATTTTCATAGGAGTGTTATTGCCAGTTTACAAACAAATTTTGAAGATTTAAAAGGCTAGCATGAAGATTTCACGCCTTATTTTATCAGCCTGAGGAGGCACTGACTTGGCTAACCAGATGACATGTGGCACTGACATGGCTAACCAGATGACATGTGGCACTGACTTGGCTAACCAGATGGCATGTGGCACTGACTTGGCTAACTAGATGACATGTGGCACTGACTTGGCTAACCAGATGACACTTTTTAGACCAGATTTAGATTATTATATTGAAAGTTATTTCCCTTATGAAATGTTTTATGAATCTAAATGACACTGGCAGCCATGATTAGTCTTGCTTCACTTCATTCAGTAGATCAAATCAAACATTTTTATTGTCATGAAAGTTCTTTTTTTAATTACAATAACAAAATAATGCTGCCATGAAGAGCTGCATCATATTTGTATTAATATTTATTTGTAATTTCTCAGTGTAGGACATTGAGGTAGTATCTCCTGACTAATCTTTTATGTATGTAATTTCTGTATATAGGACATTGATCTGGAAACTTCTGACAACTACCTGGAAAACGGAGGGTGACAGGGGTCTGTCCTCATCCATCAAGACGGAGGCATGCCATGTTGTCACTGTTGGCCTGAGGGCCCTGTACCCCACTCCCCAGGATAGGCATGTCCTGTTGTATCAGCTGCTGACATCAGGTGAGAGGCTGCTCAGGTCATTAGAGGAAAGTTACAGAATAATAATAATAATAATACTAAAGTTTATTTGAAAAACACGCTTCATCCCCAAAAGCTCGAAGTGCGGTACAAAGTCAACCATATTAAAAAGAGAAATAAAAAACAATCTAAAATGTACCACATTTAAAAACAGACACAACAATATAAAACTACATACGAGCATACCAAGAATAATATCAACTTATTAGGATCTTGGGTTCATTTAGTTACTCAAGTAGTGGTAAGAAACACATAGTTGTGATAGAAGAAACAAATAGTTGTGATATTGGATATACATAATTGTGTCATTAATGAACACATAGTTGTGTCATAATAAACACATAGTTGTGTCATAATAAACACATAGTTGTGTCATAATAAACACTTGTTTGTGTCACAATAAACACATAGTTGTGTCACATTAAACACATAGTTGTGTCATAATAAACACTTGTTTGTGTCACAATAAACACATAGTTGTGTCATAATAAACAAATAGTTGTGTCATTATAAACACATAGTTGTGTCCTAATAAACACATACTTGTGATATAATAAACACATAGTTGTTGTGTCAATCATTAGATATACATAATTGTAATATAAGAAACACATAGTTGTGTCATAATAAACACAGAGTTGTGACATAATAAACACATAGTTGTTGTGTCAATCATTAGATAATTTTTTTAAAATTAGATAGTTATGATATTCAGAAATTCAGGAAATCTAATAGTTGTGAGAATGATACAGTTGTGAGCCTCATATAATTATTGGAATGAGATAGTTGGGAGATGAGATAGGTGGGAGATGAGATAGTTGTGAGAATGATACAGTTATGAGCCTCACATAGTTATTGGAATGAGATGGGAGATGAGATAGTTGGGAGATGAAATCGCTGGGAGATCAGATAGTTGGGAGATAGTTGGGAGATGAGATAGTTGGGAGAATGAAATATTCATGAGCTGTATCAAGATTGCCTGAATCCAATAGGTGAGGAGAATCCAGCACTGATCCAACTGCGGAACATGATCCTAACAGAGTTCTCCAATCAGCTGAGTTCACATCAGCCTACAGCTACTGAACATGACGATGTCCTACAGTGAGTGCAATCTGTTTCTCTTTCTTCCATGGAATTATGACCAGGAAATAATTCTGTACATTCATTTTCACAAGTGTTGCTTTTTTCTTGGCATTTTTCAACAATAAACCAATCTACCTAGAAACCCAGGAGCATTAAGAAACTGATGCTATTTGCCAATGTCTGAGTTGTGCCTGTGCCTTGTGTTCCCCACAGATTAGATGATCTTGTCCTGTACATTCTCAAGCTGGCCGTCAAGGAATCATGTTCTTTACTTAACAAAGCCCGTGTGTGCTCCAGGACAGACTTTAACATAATGATCTCCAATCTACCGGTAAGACAGACGTTGCCTTAGAAATTTGTCCTCAAGACTTTCATCAAAATGTTGGGCTTTCCAAGACTCTTGCCTGCATTCACATCTATAGATTTGGTCATCTTCACTGGCTAAAGAGGAGCAGCACCATTGTTGTGCTGACCTTTTAGTTGTAACAATGCTTGGATATGAAATGCAATGGGTCAAAGTCTGGTTTAAACATTATGGCAAGGTTTTCAGTCATCATTGAGCCGTTTAGGAATAATTGAGTATAGGATCCCAATAATCAGGATCACGTCATGTGCAGTTGTTTGTTGTTGTTGTTTTTTCCATGTTGAACTGTTATTTTAAAACTGGAGTTTTCCTATTTCATGATTTCTTGTCACTTATTGAATTTGATCTCTGCAGGTTGCGTCTCCTGCTGTACAATACTTATCATCACTACGTTCCTACTACCTGAGATGTGCTGTGTTGTATGAGGGAACCCATGATAACAGCACCAGAGACAGAGACAGTTTGTCTCTTGAAGTAAGTCATGCAATTTTACTACCCATGTGGCCTAAAACTCCAGATTATTTAAACATCAGAAAAAACTTAAAGAATTTGATTTGGTGAAAATCTTCGAGTATTGATTAGTACAACATAAGAAAAAACTTAAAGAATTTGATTTGGTGAAAATCTTCGAGTATTGATTAGTACAACATAAGAAAAAACTTAAAGAATTTGATTTGGTGAAAATCTTCGAGTATTGATTAGTACAACATAAGAAAAAACTTAAAGAATTTGATTTGGTGAAAATCTTCGAGTATTGATTAGTACAACATAAGAAAAAACTTAAAGAATTTGATTTGGTGAAAATCTTCGAGTATTGATTAGTACAACATAAGAAAAAACTTAAAGAATTTGATTTGGTGACAATCTTCGAGTATTGATTAGTACAACATAAGAAAACATACTATCCTGCCATTCTTGTTCTATCCTGTCATTTTTGTACAATCCTCGCATTGTGCTACCACCCTCTCATTGCTGTACCATCCTGCCATTGTTGTACCATCCTGCCATAGTTGTACTATCCTACAATAGTTTTACCACCTAGTCATTGTTGTTCCATCCTGCCATTGTTGTTCCATCCTGCCACTGTTGTAGTATCCTGCCATTCTTGTTCTATCCTGTCATTTTTGTACCATCCTCGCATTGTGCTACCACCCTCTCATTGCTGTACCATCCTGCCATTGTTGTACCATCCTGCCATAGTTGTACTATCCTACAATAGTTTTACCACCTAGTCATTGTTGTTCCATCCTGCCATTGTTGTTCCATCCTGCCACTGTTGTAGTATCCTGCCATTCTTGTTCTATCCTGTCATTTTTGTACCATCCTCGCATTGTGCTACCACCCTCTCATTGCTGTACCATCCTGCCATTGTTGTACCATCCTGCCATAGTTGTACTAACCTACAATAGTTGTACCACCTAGTCATTGTTGTTCCATCCTGCCATTGTTGTTCCATCCTGCCATTCTTATTCTATCCTGTCATTGTTGAACCATCCTCTCATTTTGGTACCACCCTCTCATTGTTGTACCATCCTGGCATTGTTGTACCATTCTTTTGATGGTCTGAAACACAAGTCTAGCAACTAAGCAATTTCTTTGACCAGGATATCCAAGCTAAAGTCCTGAGCCTCTCATCTAAATTGATTAGTGGAGCTTGTGAGGTTTTGGAGAGTTACCTGGAGACATGCAACATGGTGCTGGGGTCCTGCAGCGGTGGCAGTGAGGACCTAGAGGCCTGGCTGACCGGACTGGAGAGACTTGCCAAGAGTACAATTCTAGGCTCACTGATGCCAGTGTTGATCACAGCACTGACTCACTCCAGCCTACAGTGCCTCAACGTTGCCGATGCCCTGATGCCCTCTTTGGTCACTCTGAGTTTGCTTGCCAGTCAGGTAATACAGGAGTATATAGCAAAACCCTCTTGGTAGTCAACAGTTAGTTTGCCACCAACATCACTACTTTGTTATGTGTCAATGGAAAGCTTTTAAGAATAAGCCTGCAATCTCAGTGGTCTCAAACTCATGGTAGTAATAATCAGTTTTCAGACATGGCCGATGAGATGCTCAGATGAAGTCCAGCAGTAAAGTAAATGCTGAAAAATGCACCAGCCAATCTCAGTATAGTTTTAAAAAAACCAGTTGCTCCAATGTTTTGAAGGCTGCAGCCAGGCACGTGCTCACAACAAGATGACGTTTGCCATGTCTAGTTACTGAAGTTATTGTATTTGTTTGTTCACATCTTAGGCTGCCCTTGTTATGAAAAGTCAAGAACTGACTGCCAACACATCCATGGTCTCGGCAGCGGACCTTGACCTTGGGACAGATAAGGAGATGGCTGAATTTATTGGGGAAGCCCTAAGTGTTGACCAGTGAGTAAAGTTATGATATCACACAGTCCTCCTCATCCTCATGTCCCTTAGTCCTTGGACCGTTGGGGCGCCTCAGATGACATGTGAACCATCCTCCTCCATTCCTCTCTGTCTTCAGCACTACGCACTGCATCGCCCAGTGTTAGTCCTGTCCACTCTTTGATGTTAACCTCCCACCTTTTTCTTTGTCTTCCTCTTCTTCTCCCTCCTCTTGTGGTGCCCTGCAATATTTCTTTGGCAAGCCCTTGTTTCCTTGTTACGCGGCTGTACCATTGTAATTTGTGTTTTTTCACAGTCACCAGTAGGTCATCATACTCCCCAATTGCCTGACACAGTGGAGTCTCCCAAATTGGTGTTTCTGAAAGAAGTTCACTATTAAGGAATGAAAATGTTGCCAGACACTGATGTTTGGTATTAGCAAGAATGATCCATCATCTTGTAACAGTTAACATTGTTAATTGTCTAGTGAACACTATAATTTATAGAACCTTTATTGTTTTTTAGTTTTTCTAATTGCTTTTCATAGGTTGTTAGGTTCTAATTTCTTGAGGTTATAGTTCTTATGACAATAAACTGATAAATGAATGTAGAGCTGTGAAATGGTGCATTCTAATTTGTAAAATTATAAACTATGTTTAATAATGTGAACTATTCAATGATCTGCTCCATTAGCGACATGAACATGGAGGAGGAAGAAGGCTTTCTGACCGGGCTGAAGATTCCGACACCCTGGGCCTCTGGGAAGACAGTTGAGACTATTCACCCCGTCAGGGACAACTACAAGTTCAAGGAAACCGTCCACATTCCTGGTGCTCGCTGCCTGTACCTTAGATTTGACCCCAGGTGCTCGTCCCAGTATGACTACGACAAGGTGATACATTGATGGATGGGAATTTAATGACATTTGACACCTGTGATTTAACGTCCACTTACGATCATTGAAGAGCAAAAGAATATTTACCTCTCGCTGTGAATGTGAAGAGGGAGTTAAATTATTATTTACTGACATAAATTTTCTTTGCATAATTTCTATTTTTGTGTGCATTTTATTGAAAGTTTGTTAGATCACATGAGATCCAATTCTTCAGGATACAAACGTTATGTTAAAGTAAAATAAGAAAACCAAATTTATTTAAGTTGATCTAATTGCTCCTAATAAAGTCATTACAAAATGTTAAATGATGTCATTAAAATAGTTGACCATTTTCCACTGTGAACTCAGGTTGTAGTTTATGCGGGCCCTGGCATCAACGGCAAGAAGGTGGTGGAGTACGGTGGCAACTCATTTGGATTTGGCAGTCGCAGTGTCTTGGGGAGTGGATGGCCAAAAGATCTGGTTAAGGTAAGATCTGGTCAAGGTAAGATCTGGTTACGGTAGCGTTGATACTATGACATGTCCCTGTTCTGGACATGACAATACTATGGGTCCTACTACCTGAAATCAGAGGCAGTACATCTTCACCAGGGCTACAAATAAGGTGGAAATTAAATGTTTCATTTTTGAAAGATTAGTTTATTAATTGCTTTGAAGGGAAAGATCAATAACTCTCTGTTTTTTCTTTAAATTAAAAGCATGCTTGACAGTCTGCTGCTCATGTGTCAAGTCCATTTCAAACTGGGCGTCTTAATTTTTTCAGCTCACAGTGCTTACCGCAACTTTTCTTTGTCACGATAATCAAAACCAAACATAGGGCCTAAACTTTCTGTGAAATGTACGTTTCTAATTTAAACATTCCTTCCCATCATAATACCCACCGCCCCCTTTGATGGTCCAGTGCCCCATAAAATTTTCCAAGCCTTTCAACGCCCCCATGTAAACCTCGCCCACTTTGAGAAGCGCTGATATAGATTGTTCTCCCCATTTGTATATTATTAGTACTCAAAGGGAGATGCTCAACTAACACTAATTTTTTTGATGTTACTTTAATGAGAGAGCATTCCTTGTACCCGACTATTAGACAGGTGGAATAAAATCAAAACATTACAAACAGTAAGAGTAAGAGCGTAAGAAACATAAAATAGTTAGTATTGGAAAATGGAATAATTAAAAATGAACATACAAATCCTTAACGTGCTTCTTTAATTGGTGAAAATGGCCAGGTGAAGTTTTCCTTCTAACTATATCTTAAACTCTCCCAATACAGGGCCCCCCCCCCCCCCCCCCCCCCTCCCCTCTATCTCTCTCTCTCTTCTTCCACCTTAATAGACACGGAAATACATGCACACAGTTTGTTATGCTATGAGCCTCTGTCAATCATTAAAATGTATTATAACATAAATATTACAATTGGGTATTCTGGAAACTACTTTGTTTATCATACAATGTACAGCTTTGACTTGGTGGAAAGCTTTTACAAATACATCAACTCTTTCCGTGCCAATCCACGATACATCGTCGATTTGGCTGATCGCATTGGTGCAATCAACGATGTACCGTCAATTTAATTTCTGTAGTTTATTTCGTTGACTACGTCTATCAATTCTACTTTTTATGTTCTCAAATGAACGATGACTCTTCCTACTTCCTTCCTATTAGAAATAGGGTTAGGGTTTATTTATATTTGTTTTTCCAAGAAATGGAACCTTTTTTTTCGATTTGTGTTCAAACTGTTGTAAACCAAACAATGGCCACGCCTAATCCAAGCACATCAGCTGTTGCTAGACCACATAGGTAGTCAAATTTGCAAACAAAAAAGTTTCTATTGAAATTATTGATGCAAAAACATCGGATAATATCCATGAATAATTTGAATCTGATTCCAGTATTGACTTTTAACTTTCTGATGGGTCGGCAAATGCCAAATGGAAACAGAGGAGGTAATAGTAATAGTAGTGACAGTCGGCACTTTGCTAAAAATTTCAAAACATTTTAAAAAGATTTGTGAAAATATTAAAAGACCACAGCTGTATAAAGCCTAGAGAATAGATTACAAAACCACCAAGATCAACTTTCTAGCTCAAGTGGTTCAAAAGTTATGACTTTGTTAGTGAGGACCTCAAAACCACTTTTTTTACTATGGCGACAGTGAGGATTCAGATAATACTACTCCTGTTTCTGCAAAGAGCAGTCAGAAATTAGGCAGAAAAGATGCAGGAGGGACGGTTTCTAAAGCCCAGAACCTTGAAACAGTCATTCCCCTGGTGGCCACTCTAATCAAAGCCAGGGGAAAAACCCACTAACAGTGCAGACAAGCGTCTCAGTGAAAATAAGGACCCGGTTGACTATGACGGGCATGTGTGGATACCTTTCTGTGCACGAAAGAAACTAACCTGGCTGCTATGTGTGCATCGGATGCACAGCAAATGAAGGCCTCTGTGTGTTGAGTACTTCAGAAAGGACCACACCGAAAGAAATGTGTACTGAAGTAAAATATTTTGTAAATAATATGTTTGACATTTGTGTAAAAATACGTATGTAAAGAAACTGTTTTCTTCTGTTGACATTAATGTTAGAAAAATGTGTGTAACTCTGTCACTAGGTGGAATATTTTCAAATGTAAAATGCATTCTGATCAAAAATGGATATACTTTCTGATTATTGAAGCAGAATAGGACACCAGCTACGCAGACCGTATTGTACTCTGATAAGTTCAGATTTTGTGCGCAATTTAAGAAACAAACAACTTGGATCTCATAAAATGACCCATAAAATTTTAACTCTTATTCTCTTTAAATCTTTTACGTATTATTATTCTCTGTCCTATTTCCTTTAAATTGATATGAAATACAGCTATCTTGCTAAAAAAAAATGTAATCAAAATTAATTAATGGATAAGAGCACTCTAAAATATTTCCATTAGCCAAAAACTGGTCTGGCACAAACATGGAAAACCTGGCATGGAAAGCGTTAATATGACAATGTTGTTGTACATAATTGTAATTTCACAAACAAGCTACTGCAACAAAAGCCTAAGATGATGTGAACTAAAAAATACAAAATGTAATGAGATAGAACTTATTTTATCGTTAGAAAAAGAGTGGGCAAACTTCTATTCAATTAAAACAATTTTTCATGTATTTATAAAAAAAAGGCATTTAGGAGAATATATTTATTCATCATGTAATTTCCTGCACATTGATTTGTGATTACCCTGAGATTTTCTTGTTAAAGATGGTAATTCTATTTTTGGTCAGGTTGAAGGAGACACTGTGACCTTGACATTTGAGATGCGCAGTGGCAGAGAGCACAACACGCCAGACAAGGCAATGTGGGGTTTTTCTTGTACAATCAGAGCTCAGGTAACTATAATACAATGCTGGCTGGGCGCTTAAGCAGTGGGATATTGGCCATAGCATTTCCTGGTATGGCTTAGGCGCCACCTATTGATTATGAAGTTTTGTGGTATGTCTGCCGTCCTGTGCCGTTCTTATTGTTTCATGCTTAAATGAGACATAATTGGCCAAGTCTTTGAATATTTTCCTGCTTCGAAGGAATCGGCTGAAGAGGTGACACCGGGGCTCCCTTTTCTTTCTGACCTGGCACTGGGCCTCTCTGTACTTGTGTGCACACAGCTGGCCCTCCTGTACCATGGGGCCCCCCCTTCCCAGGATGAGCTGGATTGTCAACATCTACTGAAATCCAAGATTCTGCAGAGGTGGGTAGTTTATGTCGGCCATAGAAAGTTGAGCACATTTCTAGGTCAAGGAACTAAAGAGTTAATATGGTCATCTCACGGACAAGCAAAGCTGGTATCAATTATGAACTGTTGAGATGTGCAAGAACATCAGTTGAGAAATTTGATGGAATTAAATTTCAAGAAATTTATGATAGGCACAACTAGTCAAATTGATGTTTAATTTAGGATAGGCACAACTAGTCAAATTGATGTTGAATTTATGATAGGCACAACCAGTCAAATTGATGTTTAATTTATGATAGGCACAACTAGTCAAATTGATGTTTAATTTATGATAGGCACAACTAGTCAAATTGATGTTTAATTTATGATAGGCACAACCAGTCAAATTGATGTTTAATTTATGATAGGCACAACTAGTCAAATTGATGTTTAGTTTATGATAGGCACAAATAGTCAAATTGATGTTTAATTTATGATAGGCACAAATAGTCAAATTGATGTTTAATTTATGATAGGCACAACTAGTCAAATTGATGTTTAATATGGCTCCTTGCAAGCAATTTAAAAAAACAAAACAAGTACCCATAAAACATGGAACAAGGCACATCATTTAAGTGTGTCCATTACTCTGGTAGAACTGCATTAAAACTAGGTAACATAGCAGTCAACGCTTTTTCTCTACTGACCTTCTTTATTTGTGCGTCCATCTTAAATAGCAAAGACAAATGATTTCAAAAGTATCTTCCAGATGGTGTCTAATCTCCCCTCCCTTTGCTCCAGCTGAATTGATTCTCTTCTTGTCAGGTGTATCTGGAGGACTGAGAGATGTTCTGAAAGTGGGGACAGACCCACAGACTCCCCTAACCCAACCCTGGGCTCCATATCCCCACCCCCGAGCAAGAAACCGATGGATGAAGACCCGGAAGTGGCGGGTGCCGCTGCCAGTATACGGCTGCCCCGCATCAAGCTTTCTGCCGACATCATGGACAGATTGAGGAGACTGACCAAACGACAGCCAGTGAGATTACGAGCATCAATCAAGTGAGCCTGTCGTTGTTTTAGCTTTTGTTTGGCAATCTTGTCTTGTTGATGAGGGTGTTTTTTTGATGAGGGTGTTTTGTTGATGAGGGTGTCTTGTTGACGAGGGTGTCTTGTTGATGAGGGGTGTCTTGTTGACGAGGGTGTCTTGTTGATGAGGGTGTCTTGTTGACGAGGGTGTCTTGTTCATGAGGTTGTCTTGTTCATGAAGGTGTCGTGTTGATGAGGGTTTCTTGTCGATGGGGGTGTTTTGCTGATGAGGGTGTCTTGCTGATGAGCGTGTCTTGTTCCTTCCAGTGTCTGACTTTGAATGTCATGTATCTGTGCTACATTGCCAAAATAAATGACATTGCTAACCATGTTACTTAATGGGGAATAAGCAGTTTTTTGTCCAATTGCAATATTTTGTGCTGCATGTTTTAAGTTGAACTATGAAACATTGTCAGGTTTTACAAAATGAAGAATAAATCGTGAAATGGAGAAGTTCTTTTAGCCTAATTAAATAATGACCTGGTAAACAAATTAATGTCATAGTAAAGAGTTTGTATTTAAATATTATTATAATTAAGTTGACACTTATTATAAGGATGGTCTAATTAAATGATATTTTTGTTGTTCTGGGCCATTTGTGTTTAGCGCACAACAAGATTCCTGGGGATTTGTCTTGTAGCCTACTGTGACCTTTCATTTCAGAATGTTTGCATCATTGAGAACTTAATTAGTATTTTATTATTATACATTGCAGACAGGCATAATTCCTAAATTATTTCTCTCATCCCCCCCCCCCCAAATAAAATAAAATAAAAATAGCGTTTAAAATCATACAAATTGAGAACCACTTGCTAAGAGCTGTGTCAGTGTTGGTAGGGTGGCTACATATATATTTTCTATTGAACTTTGTTTACACACAACCATTTTACCACTGACTATCTGATTATGTTATTTCACAGAAATGCCATAGCACTAGAAGTGATAGAGGAGAGCATCATATCAGCAGTGGCCAAACACCTAGGCCTGACAGATTCACTCAGGGACCTGAGGACCGTGGTGGACAGGCAGGGAGAGGAGATAGCTGCCCTCATGGCCATTTTGGAAGAAAGCTATCGGCGATTTGAAGTGCTGGTCCGACAGCTTCAGGTGGGGTGAAGAAAATGCTAATGTCTCCAAAGTACCATGTCTAGACTTTGTATGTGGTCATAATTTTTGGACAAATACATTATGAAGTTAATTCTATTAAAAAATGTATCCTGGTATTGAAAGGGGGTGTTTGTCTCCCTTAATCGATCTCAATTGAGGGTTTACCCCTATTGTCTCTTACATTTCCCTGTGCCACTTTTAATGCACTTGGGAGAAATGCTTTTGAGAACAAATAGCCTTGTGCAGGGTTTAGCAAACTAGGGTGCTCCACACCCACCCAACCTCGCCCACCCCATGCGAGATGGCATTTCAGTAGGTGCTAGGAAAAGTGGAGACAAGAACAGATGTTCTATTATCTGTAAAGTTTAAATATAAATATTTATAGATTTTTTAATTGATTTATTAACATTTTAATTATTGTAATGAGTGATATATTTATTAATTTCTAGTTTTCTTTGAAATTCACAACAAAAAAATTGTAACACCATTTTAAAAAAAATTTAACATATGTTGTTACTTTATTAGGGGTGGGGAGAAATTGTTTTAACAATTTATTGGGGGCTCTAAACATCAAAAAATTTAAAGGGTGTTCTAAAAGTCAAACAATTAAAAGGGGGTTCTAAACTTGGGGCCAACAATTTGTAGGGGTTGTGCAGAGTATAGAGAAGTTTGGGAAACACTGGTCTAGTTGTACTGAAAACATGTGTTACTATCCAGTGGTTGCTTGCTGAACTGTGTGCCCTAGTTACTCCACAACACTGCAGTCCGCAAATCTTCACAGTAGCAATAGATTGAGAATCACATTTCAATACCTTTATCCTACAGTTGATGGGAGAACTTGAGAAGCACTGGGAGACAGAAGTTGAAGAGAGAGCATTTGAATCTACCCCCAGGGCATCAGGTAGTGTTGACCCCGCTGTGCCGAGCCCCATGGAGCCTCCATTCTTTCATGACTATCATCTACAAGAGGTATGCACAATCATCGCCATCTCTACAGGTTTGATCAATCATAAGGGAAATAAATGAAAGGGTTATCCTGTAAGGAAAAGGGAACATGAAACAAGGTTTAGTTTTGAGAATGATATCATTTACATTGAGATGTCGGTTGCAGTTCTTTGTAACTGTTAAAATCACTATAAGATCACAGTCTGTACAGAGTCAAAATCACAGTGTGTGTAGAGTCATACTGGATGATGATATAGTAGTTGTTAAATTTTGAACTAGTTTTTCTTATTTGATGGGATTGATTTCAGTGTGGTTACTTTTGAGTTGTGATGTGGTTACTTTTGAGTTGTGATGTGTGATGTGGTTTGTCTCACTTAACACACATTTGAATGTACACTTGTGTAACATCTTAGTTGCAGCCATGATAATTTTTTTTAAACAGCTCTAGACTTTTTTTTTTTTTTACTGCTCATTGGATTGTTTGCAATAATTGTATGATCACCTGGTGTTAGGTCCGCTACAAAGAGCTGACCATCTTGTCTTTCCTGAAAGAGGTGACCTTGGAGCCCAGTGACATGGAGACCACAATAAAAAATCTTCTGTAAGTCATCATTAAGGGAAATGCCATTTTGTAACATTTGGATCCATCTGAACTGAAAGTTCTAAAATAAGAACATTCATTTCTTTTTACTCATTTCTCTGAGCTAAAACTAAGGGGAGACTCATTGGTAAATATTATATGACAGTGATAGTGTTGCTCCCACCACTCTTTATTTTAATATAAATTTAAAAAATGAAAATTGATGTTAATTTGAAGGAATTGAGGACAATTTGTCCAGTTAAATGAAATACTGTTAATGGAGACTTGTCAATGAACTATTTTGTTTGACTACTTTTTACAAAAATATAGGGTATACAGCTATGACCTTAGGGGTCGTTGGCAAATTACATCATGCTCAAGGGTGAGGGGGGGTCGAGAATTTGTGACGTCACGATTTTTTTGGTTTTTGTTTAAAATCTAAAACCTTCTCATTTTGAAAAATCTTGATTCAATTAATTTTGAAAACATTAATTTGAGGTCGAAATAGAAAAATGATGCAAAAACTGTTGTGGCCATTTTACATTCGGTTTGAGGATGAGTTTGTTGTTTTGCGTGGTCACAGTTTTCTACTAATTTTAAATCTGAATCTCTATGGGAAAATGTTAAAGAATAAAATAAAATATTAGTTCAGTTATGAAAATTTTATGTATGTTTTGATTTCTTTAGGTGTGACATGACACGGGGAGTAGGGGGGGGTGTTTTAAAGAATATGTGACACTTTGTGATGGAGGGAGTGGGGTGTAAAAAGGGTCAATTTTTTGCATGAGGTAATTTGCTAACAGCCCCTTGAACATTGAATAAAATAACCACCTAAAAAATGTTATGGTATAAATCCTTTATCAAATGTAATCTTGGATAATGGGGGTGGGGTGGGGTGGGGCTGGACATTGGACAAAACATGCCTACAAGTAACGCATTTTATAGGAATACCAATGTGTCATAAATTAATGGGGTTCGGGGGTGGTTCTGAAAATCTGATAGAAATTGTTGTCATCTTTAAGGAGTGTATGTACTAAGTTTCAGCTGGATGGTTTGATGAGAATTGGGTCACCTTAGTTGTCTGAAGGTCTTGCCAGCCACAACAAAAAGCCAAGTTAACATAAAGGATTTAACAAATTGAGATTTTTGTGTGTGTGTGTTTTTGAGAGTTGAACTTGTTAAAACTTTGAGTTTCTTTGTGGAAGGAGCTCTTCATGCAAACCTGCTGGCCCCCACCAACCTTTATTTTAACCTCAAATCCACACATATTTTAAAAATAAAACTTGCTTTGACCTCAGAGAAAAGTTTGAAGCTGATGTCCAGGAAATGAAGGACTCAGGAGTCAAGAAAACTGAAGAGCAAACATTGCCTAAAACCAAGCAGGTCATCTCTGGAATCCTGTCTCGCCTGGAGCTCCTGCTGCATGTCAACAGTGTCCCAGTGGATGCTCAGTCAGCCCTCACACGCACCATGTCCCACACACAGGGCTTTCAAGGTAGGGTCAGCCGTCACGCCAACCTTGTCCCACACTCAGAGCTTTCAAGGTAGGGTCAGCTCTCACACACACCATGTTTCACACGCAGGGCTTTCAAGGTAGGGTCAGCCCTCACACACACCATGTTTCACACGCAGGGCTTTCAAGGTAGAGTCAGCTCTCACACACACCATGTTTCACACGCAGGGTTTTCAAGGTAGAGTCAGCTCTCACACACACCATGTTTCACACGCAGGGCTTTCAAGGTAGGATCAGCCCTCACACACACCATGTTTCACACGCAGGGCTTTCAAGGTAGAGTCAGCTCTCACACACACCATGTTTCACACGCAGGGCTTTCAAGGTAGGGTCAGCCCTCACACACACCATGTTTCACACGCAGGGCTTTCAAGGTAGAGTCAGCCCTCACACACACCATGTTTCACACGCAGGGCTTTCAAGGTAGAGTCAGCTCTCACACACACCATGTTTCACACGCAGGGCTTTCAAGGTAGAGTCAGCTCTCACACACACCATGTTTCACACGCAGGGCTTTCAGGGAAGGCCACCTCTGATGATCATGCAAAGGAAACTCCTCACAGTCAGGGCAATGCACAGGACAACTGAACACACAGAAGATTGAGCACATTTACAGTTTAAAAAATGATACAGTTGATGCATTTTTTGAGAGAATAATAGAAGCTATAGTCATTGTGTGTGTGCGTTTGTCATGTGAGAAACATACATTAATATAGAAAGCGGTGTAAACAATGTTGCAGTGGAGGAGTTAAACAAGAAAGATAGAAACAAATATCACTCCTCTTTCTCTGCCCATTATTGACACCAATTTGAATGGTTATGCCTACTAATATTCTAATTTTTTGTCTACCAACAGAAGATCTGATGGTACGGTCTGACACAGATGTGTCCCGACCCATTCAAGGCTTTAGTCGCAGCATGTCAGCCCCTGTCTGTATAGATCCTGATGAAACCTTGTCATTCAAACATCAACGGTACAATAAGAATTGTCATTTCTTAAACATGTTTAGCATTCTTGATATAGCCATCTACTTTGCTTTTCACTCCAAGCCACATAAACTTTTGATAATAAGCAAATTAAATGTTAAAAATTTTAAAGTTTTTCTAACAATAGAAACAGGATTATGTAAGTAGGTTCCCTCAAGAAACACTCTCTGTAGAATGTTGATTACATTGGTAGCTGAATTCAAATCTTACTCTAGTTACTTTAGTTTCTATAGAGCCAAGATAAATTAGATCGCTGATAACAAGATTGAGTTGCTTTTATTTTAAAAGAAAGGTCCATCAGGTTCTGGGGCAAGTAAAGTTCCTATTTGAACCTAAAACTTGATCGATTCAGTCGGTGCTATAACATAACATTTATTTATAGAATAACATTCAAGATTGTTATCTTTATAATCTAAATAATTATGACCATAAAAATTGCTCAAACATTTAAATACGTGAATTATATTTAAACTACAGACGCCCCATAAACATTGACTTACATTGGATTGAAATAAAAGCCACAGCTTAAAAGGAGGTTAATAATAAATGTAGAAGTTCTCCAATTATTTGGTTTTGTTCCCCTGGACGTTGATGTATTGAAACATTGAACTTTCCTGTGGCTGTCCTACAATTATTTGGTTTTGTTCCCCTGGACGTTGATGTATTGAAACATTGAACTTTCCTGTGGCTGTCCTACAATTATTTGGTTTTGTTCCCCTGGACGTTGATGTATTGAAACATTGAACTTTCCTGTGGCTGTCCTACAATTATTTGGTTTTGTTCCCCTGGAAGTTAATGTATTGAAACATTGAACTTTCCTGTAGCTGGAGACATGGAGAGAAACCCAGGCATGCCAGCTGCATTCTACAGGACCTTGTTGATGATGGGGATGAAGACAAGCCGCCCCATGTCATTGTCATAGATCAGCTGTTTGCATTCATTGGCAATGATCCAGAGAAGGCTGTAAGTCACACCTACTGGTCAGCTATAGATATTGCTGGTGTATGTGGTCATTGTCTATCTCATATGTACTTTGTAAACTCCAGGGCCGAAGTATGTCTTCTAGGTACTGCAGTTAGTTTTTTTTTTAATATATAAAGAAAGGAAAATGCAAAGGAAAACTTTTAATTGTTTGGTGTTGTTATTTTTGTGAGATTTTCTTTCCCATTATTTCCATTATTTTGACTTTGCTTCTCTTTGTGTCAAACACAATAAAAACTAATCAGGCGTGTCTGCTAACCAAACTTGCACTACACCACTTGTGATAATTAAGTCTGCTTCACTACACCACTTGTACTAATTAAGTCTGCTTCACTACACCACTTGTACTAATTAAGGGTAAAAAAAAATCATCAAAAGATTGAACACCTGCTTTTAAACACATCCAAATTTCTGGCTTGTTTATTATCAGGTGTCGTGTGTTCAGTTCCTGAAAGCAGCAGAGGAGAGGAGAAAGCGGGGGACCATCCGTAAGACAGCTCTCAACCACATAAAAGATCTGCTGGCTGCTGCGTCACGTGTTGGGGGAGCCACCCATCTGGTTGCTGCAGTTGCTTCAGTCTTGAGACATGGACCAAAGTAAACTGGCAAATCATTCATTTCATTTAAAAACAATTTCTGTCATTGTTTTTGTTTATTTGTAACTTCTTTTACAAAATTTTCCTTCGCTGCGATAATGTTGTAACACAAAGCAGTTATATGCGATAACAGTATAATTTAGAATGATTACAGTAAGTCAATAACTAGGAGAGTGTAAACTATAAGTAAAAGTATTTTTGTAATGGGATTCACAGTTTCTGACAGTATAATATAGATTGATTACCATAAGTAAGTAACAAGGAGACTAAACTTTAAGTAAAAGTATTTTTGTATCCCTTTACTTACGTTTAGCAACGTAAGTGTAGGCGACATGGGTTTAATGACCCATTTGCTGGCCTTGTCCGCAGGGCCCCCTGGCAGGTTCTTCACACAGATAAAAATGGGTCCCCATAAGATACTTCATCACTTATTGACTAATCTGCCAAAGTCATAATTGAATGTTGTTTAAGTTAGTAATACATATCAAGAATAATTAATTGCTCACAGTTAACTGTGAGTTTATTACAATAAGAACCAATGGTAAGAGTTGACTTTTCTTGTTTTCTCCTCAAATAGAGTGGATGATCTTCTCTGTGGAGGAATGCTCAGTGAAGTGAGGGAAGCCTTCTCTGAGGCCATGACTTCTGTGGTTCAGCTGGCGGCCCATCATCCTATAGCCAGTGCCAGCAGTATTGGATTGCTCTGCACCATTCCTTACACACGGTGAGTTGACTCCCCTGAACAGATCAAGCTGCTATTAATTCTTCATGTTGATATCTGTGTCTGTAAGGGAATTATTTTTTCATAGATTTTGTATATTTTTTGAAGTTCAAATTTTTCTTTTTAAAAAATGTCCAAAAATAAGATTTTGTTATTTTAAAATATATCTTTATACATCCTTTATGGATAACTATCCATGTTTATGGATAACTAGCCATTGTTTGCTGTGGTCAATAGATTTTGAAACAACTTTGCAGTCCTACTTCTTAAAAAGATCAAGTAGAATTTTTTCTTATGTCTGAAATTTGCATGTCTAAAAAGAACACAAAGTATCATATTAACATGTTGACGTATGTTAATGAACTCACGAATAAAACATCACATGGCAATTTGTAAAAAAAATTACATTTGTGATAGCTTTCAAAAATATACTGAAAAGATTTCAAAATTATTTTTTTTTAAATGTCTAGTCTTATTTGAATATATAATTTTATTTCTAGGGCTGAGGAAAAGTGCCTGGTAAGGTCACACCTTGTCCATCTCCTTGACAAGCTGTGTAGCCTTGGCAGCCACCGTGCTGATGGACTTGGGGCTGAGACCCAGACACCCAGGCAGAAAGTCTCAGCACTGGCTTGGGCTGGTTTCCAGGTGCTGGCCTCTAGATGTGTCAAGTGGGAAAATGAAGATGGTGAGTTTGCAATCTTTACTCCATTTACACTTTTAAAATTACCTATAAAAATATCAACAAACTTAACAATGGTTTGAATAAATATAAAGAGCTTGAAAAGTATCACATCCTCCGACATGGGCACACACAAAAAAATCATCTTTTAAAGTATCTTTTATTTGTTTCTTGAATAAATTTCTTATTTCAACTACAGTGGGCCATGAATTAGAACTTAATCCGTTCCCGAATCCCCTGTGATTTCCAATTCTATGGAGTTCAAGGATAATCTTTTTCCCTTTTAAATAATAGAAACTGGATTTATCCATTCTTTGGTCATGAAAACTCGATTTTCAAAATGATTTTAATAGTAAATACACAAGATTTTATAATAAAATATTAACAAATAATTATATTTGAATCAAAATGTGAATTAATCCCCATGAAAAATAAAAAAAACCTGTACTGAAATTTTACCATTAAAAAGAAGTGATGATTTGGCATGTGGAAACTACAAAATAAACTATCAATTTTTTTAAATAGTCAAAACAATGAGTGTATCTAATGACTTGACTAAAAATATATAATTAATCCAAAATGGCACCATGATAATATTAAAAAAAAACCAAAAAACATCTCTATAGCTCTCCATTTAATCACAAATAATTGTTCTATTGTTAAACCCGTGGTGTCAAAACAACAAAAGTGCATAGTCAGTGACAAGTAAGCTTCACTGACAGAAGAGCTCTCTGTGAAATCACAAATAATTGTTTATGTTTGGACACCCATAGCACAAAATGATTTTAATTGCCCTGGTTTTTAATTTGAAAATTTGAAAATATCCTGTATTTCTTTATTTTGAAGTAACAAATGGTTCCCTTAAAAACAGATGAAAAATGTGCTGGGCATTTGGGTTCCAAAGAAGTGTTCAGGTTTTTGAGTGAACATTTGGTGGAAATCTTCATTTGGATTCCAAGTTATAGGGCTGTCAGATTCCAAGTTATAGGGCTGTCAGATTCCAAGTTATAGGGCTGTCAGATTCCAAGTTATAGGGCTGTCAGATTCCAAGGCCCCACTGTTTGCTTTTTTTAAAAAAAAGTTGTTAATGAAGTTTAATGCTTTTAATATATTCATAGAAATATATGAGAAATCAATGAATCTTGAACTGAAGAAATAGTATTGCTGCTGTGTTTTTTGGTTTAGAACAAAAGAAATGTAGCAAAAGAGCTAAATAAAGTTAACAGTAGTATTGAGTTTTTTAATATTTAAAAAAAACAAATGAAGTGTTTGTTCATAAACATCAAAATTTCAACAAAATTTGACCATATTGATTTGAGGAGACTCCCTCTGGCTTATAGACAACGCTAATCAATGTAATGATGTGTTCAGGGTCTCAAATTGAGGAGTTGGAACATTCAGGTCTTGCCAAGCAAGTGTCCACCTTACTGACCCATCACCTGGCCAGAGCCACTGAAGGAATAGGAAATGCCATGGCTGGCACAGAGGCCCTGCAGGAGGTGCTCAGTCTGCTCAACAATTTATCCAGGTGAGCTGTTGCTCTGTGTGATGGCTGTTATCAACCTGTGATTTTCCACTGAGAAAAGAAAGACAATTGAAGTCTTAGACATGTTTTTAGAGAACTTTTACCATAAGATTTTATTATTCCCTAGATCTAATACTGTCATGGCCTAGCATATGTTATAAGCAAAGCAAATGAAAAAAGCTCAAAAAGAAAAATAATTATCTGTGCATCTTGCTCAACAGTGGTTCTCCACCTGGGAGAAAGCTTTTGTTTTTATTGACTTGAAATCAGTGGAAGCACAATCCTCATCAGTATAGTTAGCAGTTAAGCAGAGTCAGTCTCCCATAAAACTACTGATGGGAAATAGCGGCTCATTTTTAAAGTTTGAGATTAATGATTAAATCCATGTTTCAGCACCTGCATTTATAGAAGTCGTTAAAAAAAACCAAAAAAAAACTTATCTATATTAAAAAAAAAATGTAATTTAAAAAAAAAAAATCCTCAATTAGCTGACTAGGGAATACAACGGTGAATTAATTATAGGTTTAAAATTCAAAGATTAGTTGTTTGCCACTATTGGAACATAGAACACAGTAGAGATGAATTTGAATAGTACTTTTTTGTTGTGTTGATCGCTTGCCTTGTATTACAGGAGCAAGATGGGAAAAGCAATTTTAAGCCAGCCAGCTTGTGTATCCAAATTGTTGTCTCTCTTGTTGGATCAGAGGTAAACATTAGGCGGATGTCTTCCATCATTTAGTCTAATCGTTTTCTTTATTGGTTGTTTCATGTACAGATTTTTAAAATGTAAGTTGTGTGAATGGTTCAGCTTCGCTTAAAAAAGATTTGTATTCATAATTGCTAGGGGTTGAAAAGTGAGGGGGGGAATCTTTAAAAAAAAATTAGTTTGAATTTGTTGAGGTTGGAAGAAAAAAAAAGGGGGGGTGGGGTTTGGGGGTGAGTGGTGTGTTGCATTGAATTGAGTCTAGGATTTAGACATTTTGAGAATTGCATTAGCCTTCGATATTTTCCATTTGGATTTCTAAACACCAATCAACATTTGTGCTCTGCCCAGGCCATCTCCTAAACTAGTCCTGATCATCCTTCAACTGTGCCGAGTGTCCCTGCCATTGATGAACTGTGAGGATTGCGAGGAGGTGGAGCTGCCCGCCTGGGGCCAGCAGCTGTACTCCAGCCATTGGAGCACGGCTAAACCAGTGTCTGATCCCCCAGCTAAGATCATTTGTCTGCTTTTGGCAAAACTCGGGGACTTCCTAGTGCCAGGTCAGACACGTTCTCATATCAGGGGGAAAAAAAAGACTTTGAACTCGTGATTTTTTTTTTCATTCACCTCCTCAACCTAATTGATGTCATTCTTGTTTTTATTTGTTTGACATAAAATAATAATATGTTCCGTATTTTGTGATAAGTGTAGTTCATCATACAGCCTACTGAAACTGTTAGGTGATCAATCAAATAAAAAATAGCCAGTATGATCCCCCACTCAGTCGACTTTCAATAAATATATACTTGATGGGGGTCTAGCTATAGCATTTGCTAGTGAAAAATCACCCTTTTCAAAGGCACCCAAAAAGCTCCAAATTCCCCGCACGGTTCAGAAACATAACATACACACTTCTTGGGTTAAACTAACAGGTGATCAATCAATGTTATATTGATACATATATATATGTGTGTGTAAAACATCAATTGAACAGTTTTGTCTCAATCGTTGTCTTCTGTTTCAAACGACCAGGGGATCAAGTACTATTGTCTAGCCGATCCCCATCCCAGGAGTCCTCTGCCACAGGCCGGTCAGCTAAAGGGGGCGACCCTGACAAACCAGAAGACAGCGACGTGCAGAGAGGGAAACTCTCCGTCTTTGTCCACAAGAGAGAAGACCAGATGTCACATGATATTATCCAACCCCTGCTAAGGTAAGCAGGCGCCCAACTCATTACTGAATATTATTATGTATTTGAAAAGATCATGGTATCATTCTGTGATTTTAGAGAGAGGTGTGTATTTTATGTGTAAAGGAAGATTGTATTCAACAAAGCTGAGAGATTTGAGTCAGTGACATAATTCTTCATCATTATATGTGTGATTAAAGTCTATAGCGAAAATATTCAGTTTTTTTTTTTTCAATGATCAATACAAAGTTGTCCTGGAATCCTTAAAAATGTCTGAATTCTGAAGCAATCAAAGTTTTAACATGAGAGAAACAGAAGCAGCTGTCACCATCAAAAACAAATTAGCTGACAATAAAAATTAAGAAACTGTTTTAAATTAGGTCAGAAAATGTTACAAGGCTGTAGAAATTGTTCTTTCAAGCCAGAACATTTGACTTGAAAAGTTATGGGGAAAAAAAAACAACTAAAGTTTTTCAACTCTTGATACTCCACTTAAAATGTTCTATTATTTTCTGATCCAATGTACATAATTAATATTGTATTTTACAACCAGGGCCAGCGCTAGGGGATTTGTGCGGGGCCCCGTGTGTTGCCGTAGTATATTTATAAAATACCTAAGCCTACTAATAGTTCCTAATCCAGTCAACATAATATTCGGAGTTATTAGATTGTCAAATGATCTGAAGGTCAGTCTGGCTCCCATACTGTCCCTTGGTCAGTCTGGCTCCCATACTGTCCCTTGGTCAGTCTGGCTCCCATACTGTCCCTTCAATGGCTCATTAAGCTTCGTGTTTTGGTTATTTGTTTTTGACAACCTTGTTATTGGTAACAATGGAGCCGCGATGAGTACTTTGGACCAGGGCCACTAACTGTTATAAGAGAAAAATAGAAATTTTGGAAACAAGCGAGTGAACAAATATCCATTATGACGCGTCAGCAATGACGCCAGTATGACTATAACGTGTCTTAATATCCTATAAGCGGAATATATAACGTCAAGGCCCCGCAAAATTCAATTTTCCCAAGCCCCGCACCCTCCTAGCGCCGGCCCTGTTTACAACCATCTACTTGTATACTTCCATTGCTATTGCTACCCTATCAAACTATATTTGTGTAATGTCCTCATTTTGAAACTTGCTCTGTATTTGACAGCTGTGAGAACAGACCGTTTCGTCTGTGTGGCAATGCCAACATGGACAAGGTGATGCGTCTGGACAGGGAAATAGCCAAGGTAGGATATCCTCTTATCCCATAATCGGCTGGGGTTCAGGGCAAAGTTGACAGACACCATGGGAAACTTCTGATACTAATTTTTTTTTTGGGGGGGGGGGGGGGGGGGGGTAACTTTTGATTGATTCAGTTTTGGCAGAGTTTCAGTTCTGTACTTTCAGTGTGTCCTATGATAAAAGAGGTTAAAACCATTGCTCTAAAGTTTACAATATTTTTAAAATATTTGAAATATTTTTTTGCTGTCTTTTTTAAATGCTTTATTTATTGTCTGCTGTCATCTTGTTACCACTAGAATGGTAAGGCTGAACTGACCACAGAAGATGCTGTCAGCGCATTCAAGAAGGCCTACAAGTGGGCCCAGATGGGGCTGGTCATCTCCACAGCACCGCCCACAGACACCAACTCCACTGAAAACAACAACAGCACCGACAAGAAGAAAACAGTCTCGGAAGTGATCTGCAAGGACAAAAACTCAGAGCTTGCCAGGTAAGTTTTTGTGTTCTTAGATTCATCTCGCCAAAACAGCAGTTCTCAACATTTCTACTGCCACCACCCCTCCTTGAAGACAATTGCCAAGTTGTTGCCATCCACAACCAAGGTTATTTTAAATTTGAGAAATGCTTGTTGAGAATTCAATGGGATGGTATAGACTAATTGTTGTAGTCACTAACCTGAGAATTCAATGGGATGGTATAGACTAATTGTTGTAGCCACTAACCTGAGAATTCAATGGGATGGTATAGACTAATTTTTGTAGCCACTAATCTGAGAATTCAATGGGATGGTATAGACTAATTTTTGTAGCCACTAATCTGAGCATTCAATGGGATGGTATAGACTAATTTTTGTAGCCACTAACCTGAGAATTCAATGGGATGGTATAGACTAATTTTTGTAGCCACTAACCTGAGAATTCAATGGGATGGTATAGACTAATTTTTGTAGCCACTAACCTGAGAATTCAATGGGATGGTATAGACTAATTTTTGTAGCCACTAACCTGAGAATTCAATGGGATGGTATAGACTAATTTTTGTAGCCACTAACCTGAGAATTCAATGGGATGGTATAGACTAATTTTTGTAGCCACTAACCTGAGAATTCAATGGGATGGTATAGACTAATTGATACAGATATAGATAGATTTTTTACAAGAAGCTTCACATTAATGATGTTCTCAAAGAACCCCTGGCATACGTCAGGTGACAGGTATATCGTGAACAACTGCTTTAAAAACAACACAGTGATGATATCCATGAAAGCAGAGATTATCATGAGAGCAAACACTGTCATTGGAGTCAGGACATAGATCAAATCCTGAAAAAGACATATCTGAAATCAATGACTCACATGTCACAACCGTTGAACTGAAATGGGAACAAATAGACCTGACATTTTAAAGCTTGAGGCAGTATAAACAGAGTGTACCATCAAAATAAAATGCTGATATCTCACAGACACTTGATGATACAGGAAAACAATGGAAAAAAATTTATAAAAAGAAAAAACATGTACTGTTTTTTTCAAGCCCTTTCTCTTGACCTAGGCTTAATGTCAAATATAATCTCTGGATTTGGTACTGTTTACTGTAAGGTATTAGAAACTGTGAAGAAAAGAGAGGAAAACAAGGCCACGAGAATGAACTTTTTTAAAATTTCAATTTGCAGACTCATCTTTTTTTGCTAAAATCTTGACTTATAAACTTTTTAATTAGCTTAGTTCTTAAGGCATGAATGGATTAAATCGTAAGGGGGGGGGGGGGATTATACCAAGTTTTTAAATATTTTCCATGGTTAGAAATAATAATGCAACATTCCTATCCATGGTATTATAAACTTTTTAATTAGCTTAGTTCTTAAGGCATGAATGGATTAAATCGTAAGGGGGAGGGGGGGATTATACCAAGTTTTTCAATATTTTCCATGGTTAGAAATAATAATGCAACATTCCTATCCATGGTCGCAGCAGTTGTTATTATGCAATCACAATTTTGTCTGTTTCAGAACTGACCCAGTCCGAGCTTTCATCAGTGGCCATGTGGCCAATGCCATGGCAGCTGAAGTGATAGCCCTCCTTCACAACCTGCTCTCAGCTCAGACCAGCTCTGCTGCCAACACTTGGTCACAGGCAGTTCAAAGGGTGGGTGACCATCTCTGTATTAAACTTTGGGGTGTTATGATGAACTTATGAGCTGAGAATAGAGATTGGGTGTTCTAGTGGTTCATGGACCCCCCAGGGGGTTGCTGCAGTCACCAGATTTAAGACCATCATTTTAAAACCACCGGTTGAGTGGCTTTTTTAGTTCTGTATTCTGACCCGACCCCTATTGGTATACAATTATATTTAATAGATATTAGTTTAGTTAATTGGCACTTTATAATTGCCTCTGCATGGGCATGGAACATAGGCTGCCGTCTAAGACAGAGATAAAATGATGAGTGAGATAAGTATAAAGTCATGTCTCATTATGACATTCTGAAGTAGTTTTGGACATAAAAAAAAAATGTCCAGGCTTCACAGAAAAGAACCCTGTAGGATGAAAAGGGATGTCTAATAAATGTGATAAAATACCCGACTTAGGGGGACTTTGTGGTGTTTAGTTTTAGTTAGTTATTCTGGGCTTCTAGAATTTTACTTGTCATTGAACAGGACTAAAATGTCTGATAATGAGCATTGCTAAGATGTTTGATCTACTGTGATCACATTGAACTCTCTCATGTCAGGTGTTGGCCAATGCTCTGTCAGGTCTGCCTGTCCTCCTGGGGTCACTTGATGGACTCTCAACACCCCGCTCGCCCCGCAGCCAGTCCAACAACCAACTGATGTCACTTGCCAAACAGGCCAACGCCGCTCTCTGCGCCATTGGGGGTTTCCAGGAAACTCTCAAACCCGGCTGTGAAGTCAAGGTGGGTCAAAGTAATTGTGTAACAAATGGTTTGTTGCAAACGCCACCATTCCTGGACAGCAATGTTCTTCACTCTCAGCTAACAAACCTCAATCCCATATGTATGATTTCATTTTAACAAAGTAGGAAATTGTGATTTCATGTATTGTTATATCCTTACTGTAATAACAAACTTGTCTCTATCCTTCAATATGAGTCACATGCCTGGTGTCATAGGCTTTGAAAAACCTGCACACACTGAAATCTTGACATTGACCTCATTCACTTTTTTAGATCACTGGTGAGTGTATTAGAGGCAGTCACGGGACAGTAGTCAGTGTGTCCGAACAGAATGATGTCATAACTGTGCAGCTGACCAATGACAGCAGTGCAGACAGTGGCATGCCAGTACCAACTTATAGTGACACGGTCAAGGTGCCATTAGCCAGAGTGCAGCCCATCAGAAATGAGGTGAGTTTATGACGCTGATTAGTAATAAAGTCAAGCATGGATATACAATCATAAGAGCAATGGCATGGGGATCAAGAAACAATGTGGGGCGGGTTGAGGTTGTTATAGTTACCACATAACTGTTGGGTGAATGAAGTGAGGTTTTCATAGTTACCACATAACTGTTTGGTGAATGGAGTGAGGTTTTCATAGTTACCACATAACTGTTTGGTGAATGAAGTGAGGTTTTCATAGTTACCACATAACTGTTTGGTGAATGAAGTGAGGTTTTCATAGTTACCACATAACTGTTTGGTGAATGAAGTGAGGTTTTCATAGTTACCACATAACTGTTTGGTGAATGGAGTGAGGTTTTCATAGTTACCACATAACTGTTTGGTGAATGAAGTGAGGTTTTCATAGTTACCACATAACTGTTTGGTGAATGAAGTGAGGTTTTCATAGTTACCACATAACTGTTTGGTGAATGAAGTGAGGTTTTCATAGTTACCACATAACTGTTTGGTGAATGGAGTGAGGTTTTCATAGTTACCACATAACTGTTTGGTGAATGAAGTGAGGTTTTCATAGTTACCACATAACTGTTTGGTGAATGGAGTGAGGTTTTCATAGTTACCACATAACTGTTTGGTGAATGAAGTAGCAATTTATTTCTATTTCCCCATATATGCATATATAGCACATTACCTTGACTTTAAGGCGCATAGTTCCGTCAAGAGGTGAGTCTGTCTCTGCATTGTAATGTTTTATCTGTGGACCTGCTTTTTTCAGCTGTTCAACAAATATCAATCACAAATGAGCGAGACCGTCCTTTCGGCTGTCCAGGCCGTCATCCTCCCCGCTGATGAGGCCACGTCACCCCTCACGCAGCCCCTGCATTCTGCCGGTGACGGGAACACGATGGCCAATCAGATTTGTCGTGTTGTTGCCGAGATCCGAACCCGCACATCGATGGTGCTGGCCCATAGTCTCCAAGATATTGAGTTTGCTAAGAAGTTTATTGAACACTGTGGCTATTCCATAGACATGCTCAAGTCTCTTGCCAAAGATTGTCATACAGGTGAGTATCAACTTAAACTACTCAGTTTTACTAGTTGGATTCAGAAAGTTTCTATTACAGACATTTGTATGAGTGGGATCCCACTGTAGCTTTGTCATATTAAAGTATTCCCTGCCATCATTTAATAGTTTATATAACTGTTACAAAAATGATAAGGCAATTTTAATTATATTAATTAACACTTTATTCAAATAAATATGTTCAAATATGCAATCTTTCTGGTCATAGTTGAGATAGACACCATAATAAATTTTCAAAACATGAATTATTTTTTTTAATCCCTTCTTGCATAATGAAATGGTCAAGATGCCAGTCTATTAAGTTTTGAAAAAGTATGCCAAGTATGTGGTATATTTGAAACAAGTAATCCATGGTTAAATGAAACATTAGAGACGAGTAATCCATGGTTAAATGAAACATTTGAGACAAGTAATCCATGGTTAAATGAAACATTTGAGACAAGTAATCCATGGTTAAATGAAGCAAGTTTTCCTTATAGCCATGATGAAATAATACATAAAAGCAGTAAAACTCATATTTGTGTGCTAGGGCCATAATGATTTGCATACCGGGAAACATGAATAGCTACACTTTAGAAAAGTCAAGAATATAAACCCTATTTGAGTCTTAGATTTAAACAAGCGTTTAACTAGCTTTAGTTTCTCTGGTTGCACCTATGGGCAAGGTGTGGCTTGTTGCACCTATGGGCAAGGTGTGGCTTGTTGCACCTATGGGCAAGGTGTGGCTTGTTGCACCTATGGGCAAGGTGTGGTTGGGAACTTTCATCGCATGGTCAGGAAAGTCTATGGTTAGTTTTTTAATGAAGCATTTATGGTGTGTTGCCATCAAATAGAAACGTGTTGAGGCAGCAGTGAAAGAAACGTATCAATGAACCCATCTTCAGATTACATGAACATAAACATAGTTCAGAATTCATGGAGGGGGTTGGTGGTAAACACCCAAGGATACATACAGCTAAAGTGTTGATGAAATCATTATTTTTAAGCCTAATCTTTTTTTCAAAGGCTGACCAATTTTAAAAATAACTTTGGTACTGTCACAAAAAAGTAGTATATTCCAGGGATAATTTTTTTGCAGCATGCCTATTTGTTGAAATACAGACTCCCTAAATCTATTACACACAGACAGCTCATGCTGTTTCTGTAAAAGGGGGGGGGGGTGGAATAGTGAGGAACACACATGATGAGTAAACTATTCAAACTATTCAGTCGAAAGCTTCAAGGCTGCCCTGGCATCAGCTAGGAGCTGTTAAACTAGCAACATCATTCCCCCAACCGTTGCACAGATGCCAGTATATGGATGCAACAACCAACACTACCCCAACCATTGCACAGATGCCAGTATATGGATGCAGCAACCAACACTACCCCAAGCGTTGCACAGATGCCAGTACATGGATGCAACAACCAACACTACCCCAACCGTTGCACAGATGCCAGTATATGGATGCAACAACCAACACTACCCCAACCGTTGCACAGATGCCAGTATATGGATGCAGTAACCAACACTACCCCAACCGTTGCACAGATGCCAGTATATGGATGCAACAACCAACACTACCCCAAGCGTTGCACAGATGCCAGTATATGGATGCAACAACCAACACTACCCCAAGCGTTGCACAGATGCCAGTATATGGATGCAGTAACCAACACTACCCCAAGCGTTGCACAGATGCCAGTATATGGATGCAACAACCAACACTACCCCAAGCGTTGCACAGGTGCCAGTATATGGATGCAACAACCAACACTACCCCAACCGTTGCACAGATGCCAGTATATGGATGCAACAACCAACACTACCAGAACCAGAGAAATGTCTATGTTATAGACACCAATGGGGGGAAAAAACACACAGGGTGTGTGTTTACAAAAAGAAGGGGGTGGGTGGGGTGGTGAGTATTATACCGTTGCAACCTCCAGGAACAGGTTGTTTCAATGAGGAGCAGCCTCCAAGGAGATTGTTACTGTAGTATGTAGAACACAGCCTCCAAGGAGATTGTTACTGTAGTATGTAGAACACAGCCTCCAAGGAGATTGTTACTGTAGTATGTAGAACACAGCCTCCGAGGAGATTGTTACTGTAGTATGTAGAACACAGCCTCCGAGGAGATTGTTACTGTAGTATGTAGAACACAGCCTCCGAGGAGATTGTTACTGTAGTATGTAGAACACAGCCTCCAAGGAGATTGTTACTGTAGTATGTAGAACACAGCCTCCGAGGAGATTGTTACTGTAGTATGTAGAACACAGCCTCGGAGGAGATTGTTACTATACTATGTACAACACAGACTCCAAGGAGATTGTTACTATAGTATGTAGAACACAGACTCCAAGGAGATTGTTACTATAGTATGTAGAACACAGACTCCAAGGAGATTGTTACTGTAGTATGTAGAACACAGACTCCAAGAGATTGTTCCTGTAGTATGTAGAACACCCATTCTTAGAATTAACCTAGATCATTTCTTCTGTCCACAGGAAGTAGACTACCCGTGGTGGAGTCCCACTGCCAAAGGTTGCGGATGTTGTATAGAGACTGTGCCAAGCCACCCCCACCACCATGTCGAACCGATATCAGACCGGTAAGAGCAGTTGATTTCACCTTTTTAAATGTTAATAAATAAAAAAACTGTCGTTGAAGCTTGTTCCTTTAAAACAGTTTTTTTCTTTAAGTTATAAAGTTTTCCTAAGAGCAGGGCTTGTTAAATGTTACATCAATGGTCATCAAACTTCCGACACTATTGGGGCCAGAAAATACGCATATCTTATTTGTAGAGCAACAATGCCCCAGGAAATTACAATTCAATTATGAAAAAAAAATTATATAAAAAAAATTCCAATTGACCATTTTTAACCAACATACCTGTATTAGTACGTCAATGGGAAGTGATGGGCTGGTGTTGGTTAAATAGATATTCAATGTCCGATTCCGTATTTGTCACTGCTAATGTGCTATTATGACACACAGGCTATATTTTGAGAACCTGTGGTTTACATCATTGTAGACACACACCCCCCTTTCCCCCTCCCCAAACACACACTCCTTTCTGTTTGAAATTTTGGCTTTCAGTGCTTTGTATTGTTACTGTAGTATGTAGAACACAGCCTCGGAGGAGGCCTATTCAACACTGTAAGTGCTAAATCTGTCAGGTACTGATTCAACCACTTAATGGCTGAATCTGACCACTCAACACACAGTTTACACGTTGTAATATTGAAACCGGAAATCTCAGGATGTCAATGACAATCTCATGACAAACGTGACCAAGGGAGAGCGATGCAGCTTTTTACATTTATATTTTGTATTAATCCGAAGAAGAGTATTTATTATTTCAATAGCAGATATTTTTATTTGATTGTTATGATCGTGACTAATCATGTATTTATTTGTTAAGGGACTTTTAAGAGAAAACACACCAAAAGCATTGGGTCATAATGTTGTACATCACATATAGCAACCAATGACGAATGCACACTTATTTCATATAAATATTCTGTTAAATAGATTTGATTACTAAAAAATGTCTAAACCTAACTGGGGGTAAGGGTGGAGTTGGTCCCGTTTGGCTGGGTTTTCAAATGATAAAATTTGTGATCGCCCAGAATTGAATGGCTCGAAAGATACTGAAAATATATTCAAATTTCCTAGTGAAAATATATTCAAATTTCCTAGTGAAAATATATTCAAATTTCCTAGTGAAAATATATTCAAATTTCCTAGTGAAAATATATTCAAATTTCCTAGTGAAAATATATTCAAATTTCCTAGTGAAAATATATTCAAATTTCCTAGTGAAAATATATTCAAATTTTCTAGTGAAAATATATTCAAATTTTCTAGTGAAAATATATTCAAATTTCCTAGTGAAAATATATTTAAATTTTCTTTGTACCAACTACTGACCTAACACTAAACCTATCCATAGACTTCAAACAGTTGTTCCTCACCATTCTTAGAACTTTGACCATTCTTAGAACTTGTGCCATTCTTAGAACTTGTGCAGTTGAAGCAAATTGGAAATACGTTTTACTCACTCCCTTTGTTAGAAATGTATTGAATGAAAATCTCTTGTTCATTAGTCATTTTATTGTTACAATCTAATCACTGACAAAAAATGTAAAAAAACGAATTGTTTAAAATACACAGAATCATTAATTTGGTTGATGAAGATGAACACGATTTTTGTCAAAAACAAATACCTCATGTGGATAAGAAATGAAAATTAGAATCTATCATTGAATAGTTCATTCAATTAAGAAAGCTGTTAAAAAATAATTAAAGTGTTCACAAAAGTGATCAAAAAAAAAAAAAATTTGTGATAAAATTTATACTTTAGACTCACACACGCTGGTGAAGACCTTTTTAACAGCAGCACGAAACTCCTTGTTCATGAAGAAGTACACAAAAAAATTAGTCATGGAATTCATAGGCCCCAATATCAGGAAAATTGCAAACACTTGCTCCGGAATGTAGTAATATGGTTCCAGTGATATGCAGATCATGGCCGGGGTGGAGGTCACGAAGAAGAATCCAAACACAATCATGAAAAACTTGATGCTCTTCATCATCCCAGCCCTTCCCTCATCACTCTGTCCATTATGGTCAGTATTGCTGGATTTGAAGCTTTTGGTGACCCACGTCACTGCAGCGATGGCGCGTCTCTGTCTGTATGACAGAACGGCAATCTTTAAGTAAGCCACACATGTCACGGCAAGCGAGAGGTAAGTCATTGTAGAGGCAACATGGACCTTGTAGACTGTGGGCAAAATGCGGATGATGCAGGCATTGTACTGGGTCTCTGAGTTCTGCATCATTAGAGGAATGCTGCACAGAATGCCAATGGCGACCCATATGACGGCAAGGACTTTGTAAATGAACTTTCTCTCCACACGACGCTGGTAGAAGAATGGATGTGCAATGTACGTGTACCTGTCGATGGCTATGCTTGACATGTGCAGGAATGAACCGATTATTAATCCCACACTGCCACCCCCTGTCAGTGGATACAGAAACTGTGCTGGCCATTTCGTGTTCCAGCCCAATCCGAGGACGCCAATGCTGCCGGCGACAAACCCAACGAGGATGTCTATTATGCACAGGGACATGATGAATATGTTTGGGTTTGTGTGGAGGGAAGCCGTGCGCCATATTGCGAAGATCATGAGAAAGTTTTCCAGAATAATGCAAGAGCCGACACCAGTGATGATAATGTTGAAAAATACAGGAGCAATGCAGTCGCTGTTGGAGTTGGTGGTGTTTGAACTTTGATTCATGTCTTGAGATACAGATATCTAGTGAACTCAACAGCGATGGGGTCATTAGACTGGTCTAATAAATGTTACACTCTCCAATGACTTCTATTCGGTTAATAATGTTCAGAAGATTACTAATACAAGTTATTCCTCTTATTTGTATATTTAGAAATATAAGTTGACTCCTATTAATGATAGTCACAGATAAAATGTTTCTTTGATCTATGACTACATGTTAACCACCACAAATGATATATAAAGATGGTTGCTCTCACCTAGAACTGTGCCCACATATACACGTTTAACAGCTGTAGTGCGGCATGTCAGAGTTTCAAAATGATATGCCTGTTGGCACTACAGCTTTAGGCAGGCAATTTGTTTTTTAGGGCTCTACTGCAAACTGCAATTAGTTATTTACTTTAAAAATAATCCCACAGACACACACATTCTTTGAAAATGTGTTAGAAGCTCCACTCAAATGTTCACTATCTAATTACAGCACTAATGGTGGTCTTACATTCATCAGGAAAAATGCTGTGATCTTAAACTGAATAAAAATGGCAATGGAGTCAGTGTTCATGCATTAAGATCCTACTGTCAAATCCTATTAGTGTTCATCAAAGGAAATTGATTAATTACATTTTTTTTTAAAATAAAAAAATTACCCAACTTTTAAAAGAAAGGCTTTGAGCTTTGGAGGACGTGCATTGTGAGAAGTGGTCTTGTTTTAGCGTGAGTGGGAAAATAAATGGCTTTTTAGCAAGTGCTTTTATCAGCTGCAATGACTTCATTTGCTACAATGGTTGTTTTTAAAAAATACATTTTTTTTTTTTACAATTCCATTAGCTTCAAGTTCCTGGTATTAATATTGATCCTTCTGTGTTAGAGAATTGTGTACAGACATAAAGCCCCTTTCCATTATCTCACAATACATGATATCAGGCACTTTTATGGATTATTATTTTGTGAATACACTTTTCTAAATGTTGATTCTCTTTGTTTGTTTTTATTTTTTTTCCAGACACTTGTGTTATTTTTGTCCAAACACTTGTTTTTGGTGTATTCCGCTGGTCAAAATGTGTTTGTGTGATCTTGTTCCTTCCTCAATGGAAATATGAATTATATTTTGTAATATTTTTAATTACATTTTAATTTTGTCTTATCTCATCTTTCAGTCAAAAGAGATGATTTGGGATGTTGCCCGTCCCTTTCCCCCCACCCGAGCTTGTCTTTTCTCTCATGGTATGACGGCCGTCATGTTTCTTGGAGATCCAAGTGCCGGTGTTGGCCTGCCCAGGGGCACCATGGTCTATGCCAACCAGCCCATTCCTAAAGAGGTAACAAAACTTTAATTTATATATGAGAAAGAGAAGCAATATTGTATAATTCAACCTTGCCTGATTTTTTGCTAAGTGGTCATGTTTAGTAGAATTATCTTTCACCACCAGCTGGGTTTGCTGTCTTTAATTTGAACTGGTCATGATGAGTGGACCCCCGGTTTTTAAAAAAATAAAAACTTTACTGTTATATTCTTTCAATTGATAAAAGATAAAATTTGACATAATTTATCTTTTATTTATAGTTTTTGTATTGTGTCTTTTATGTGTCTTATGCTTATATATTTTATATTATTTTGATTATGAAAGGAATGTATGCACACAGTTTAGCGAGACGAGTATTTTATTGACATCTCAACAAGTCCATTTATATTATACCCCAGAAAACCTCTAGAATAAGAATATATTATAAGCTGCATTCGGTTACAAGTTATAATGATGTAGTTTTTTCAAAAGTTACTTAGTTTTCAAGTCTTTTTTTTTTTTAAACATTATTTTTAAAAAATCAAAGGCAATATGTACATGGATTTGTTGACATGCCCGCTTAACCCTGTAGACCATGATTTATTAAAATGGCAGTTGCACCCCTCTGTATCACAGTTTGTTCACTTGCAGGCTCCGTCATTTTATTGGGAACTGGAGATTTCTTCATTTGGTGACTCTCACGATGAGAGTGGTGCTGTTGTCTCATTTGGATTTGCTCCCCCTGCTGAGAAGAAAGATGCTGCATGGACCAACCCTGTCGGCACCTGCTTGTTTCTCAAGTAAATATGAGCACACCCCATTGTGTGTATTTTATTGATTAGGTTGGAGTTCTGCAATCTATGCATTGGTTTTTGTTTCTCAAATAAATATGAACACGGTGTAATGGGAACAACAACCAAATGTGGGCTGTGAACCTGCAAAGTGTCCAATGGATTGTTGGTACATGATGAAATCATCTGTTGGAAACTGAACACAATTTTAAACTAGAAAATAATGTTACGTGTTTGACCTAATAAATGTCTCATTATTATGTATAGCTAGCAGTATGGGTGGAATGGAGGAGGATAGTTCACATGTGATCTGTGGCGTCCCAATGGTCTAAGGACTAAGGGACATGATGAGGATGATGGGTGGTAAGCAAATGATGAACTTGTCTTGTCTCCTCAGCACCGGTAAGGCTGTTCACTACAACGGCGCCAGTCTGCTGCAGTGGCGGAGCGTCAGGCTAGATGTCACCGTCAGTGCAGGGGATGTGGCTGGCATTGGCTGGGAGAGAACCGGAGACTCACAGGACAATGCCCAGACACCTAAAGGTGATCATCTGCCCATTCATAGATGCCAACAATGTAGAGTTGTCTCCCATTCTCATTCATTCATTGAGACCAAAAAATAGAGGTGTCTTCAAGTCTCTATTTCATACCTAAAGTGGAGTTGGCTTCCATTTTATGTTTGCATGTTTGACGACCATCTGAAATTTCTACGGGATATGTCTCACTCCACCATTAAATAAATAAACCAACACTTGGAGGAATTTTCCTGCTTTTTTATTTGTGAAATATTTTCCACTAACTTTATGAACATCCTTAAAACAATCAAAATACTTTAGTGGTTTAGAGTAAACTATTACCCAATAAATATTGTCCAAAAACTTTATAAACATCCTTCAACTATCTAAGTACTTTAGTTGTTTAAAGTAAACTATTACCAAATAAATATTGTCCACTAACTTTATGAACATCCTTCCACTATCAAAATACTTTAGTAGTTTAAAGTAAACTATTACCAAATAAATATTGTCTTTCCTATACAGGTCAAGTTTATTTCACCTACAATGGCAAACGCCTCAATGCATCGTTAGACAATGTCTCTGGAGCCATGTACCCAGTTGTACACATACAAAAAAAGGTAGTATACCCTAATAAGACATTGATATGTGCATGTATCTTCCAAAAGTAATTAGATGAAGGTAGATCCCTTCTGATCTAATTGATTCAACTATCCACTGATAATCCCTCAAAAAACTAACGAGTTGACAGAGTAACAAAATCTTCTTTCAAATACAAGATAAATAAAGTCTTCCTTGTTTTTCCCCTTCAGAATTGTCGCATGAAGGCCAATTTTGGTTCAAGGCCTTTTGCTTATGCTGAAGGTCAACAGCATAGAGAGGCGGCAGAGGCGGCAAACGATGTCCTTAGAGACATCAGGGAATCATTTGGTCACCTCCCTTTTCACACGGCCTCGGACAGCGAGAGTGACAGCACAGAGCCGCCGGTGCAGGCATCCACACAAGAGTCCACCCGAGACAGCAGGACACCACCCAAAGCACCTTGCAAGGTTGCTGAGCCACCACCCACATTGAAAGGTACACTTGTTAGCTAAAAAAAATATTATTTTGTCATGAAAAAATGTACGCCACTGACATTGTTAATGCTTACGCCACTGACATTGTTAATGCTTACGCCACTGACATTGTTAATGCTGTGACATTTGTAACACCAATTAAAATAATTGTTTAATCATCTTGAAAAATATTTAGTTACAACTTCGAAGCTGGGCTCCACTTATTTTGATATATATTAAAGAATAAAAGTTTGTGATAAGAACCTACATTAAAACTCATTGTGAGGAATATACAGCTTAGGAAATCAAGGCATCTGAATAGGGCATTGAATGTCAGGGCTTGGGACATCAAGGAATAGAACATCTGGGCATGGGAAATAAGGTAATTTGATTTCAGGGTATGAGAGATCAGGGGAAAGGGCATAGGACATCAATTTTACATTCATATTTAAACAATTTTTATTGTTATAAAAGTAAACTTTTTTATCTTACACTCAGAGTACCAGATTGATGCCAGTGTGAATTACAAACTGTTGCCTTGCTATGACAATTTTGTTGTCACCGGACCAGACACCATGTTTGTTCGGCCAAGTGAAGAAGATTCAGAGGACGAGGCCATGGTGGAAGAGTCCGCCTTGGAGGATCACTACGCTCTGCTGGTCAAAGCCTGGGAACAGAAGGTATTTCCTGTCATCAGGAGGAGGTTTCGCAATGAGGCCGAGAGGAAAGACGGACTGGAACAGATCAGAGGAGCCTTGCAGCTGGGTCAGTTTTTAAGCTTACGTATTGTATTTACCTGAGGCTTGACTTGCTCTGTCAGGCTTGCATTTAAATTGTCTACAGAAAAGAAATTTGAAGATCATTGTGAAATAATCCCTGGAGCATGGCCACATGGTAGACAGCATTCTTTAAACAAGTTTCATTTCTTGTTCATCTTTAGACAGTAACTTGTGCTATTTCTTCCCCTCCCCTTCATTGATTATTTACATTTCACATCAGTGTTGTCTAGCTGTGCCGAGTGGGCTTATTGCTTGGTCTTAAATTTAGTTTACAAATCCATGGCAAACAGGTCTTGAGAACTTAAAACCATATTTGTTCTTATAGTGTGTTAACAAGAAATAGTAGGAGAAAAATGGGGAGAAAAAAACAATAATATTTGAAAAATACATATGTAGTACAAGTAATTTAAAGTGACTTACATTTTAGTATACATAACTGGCACTAAACATGGGGGATAAACCTGGGTAACTCATGTTTTACAGGTCATGTAAAGCAGGACAAACATTCATTAAACATGGGGGATAAATCTGGATTAAGCAAGTTATTCATCAGTATGACAAACATACTAGTACTAGCAATAAACATATTTTTCTTAACTAACAAGCCTTAATCATTTTAGATAATAAATTTGAACAATAATGATGATTAATCATGCTAATAGTAGACCCTCTCATGAGTGTCAAAAGGGCCAATTAAATAATCCTTTTTAATGTATAATTGTTAGAGAAGTTATGTTGTGGGGTTGAGCTATTATGAGAGGTACACAGTTGTGCACCAAGGCCCTGGGGTACTCGATGATTGAGTTAACCTACATTTTAGATACTTGTCTATTACAATTACAATGTAGCACACACAGTGTCTATCTTGGACTTAACCACATGGCAGTATAATTACTATAATGATATAACTGTTGGGATTATACAAGGGCAAACACCAGGTCTGTGTAAGACTCAGCCTATGACTGTATGTCCAACTTGAGCACTATAAAGTATTATCTCTTGTTGGTTACTGTTATACACCTGCAGAGTTACCTGCTGGTCACATGACAACCAAGAAGTTATGGTCCAGTGCATAGCTTTGTGCTACTTTTAAATCCAGTGGGTGTGTACATGCAATAGTTTAAACCTGGGGTTCACCCACAGCTGATACCGTGACATTCAGAGTGTTTGTTACATTACGACTGTTAATTGGCACCTTGCAGCAGTTATTTTACTTACCAAATCTCCCCTCAGGTATGACAGACATAGCCAGGCAGACCGTTGAGTTCCTCTATGAAGAGAACGGTGGGATTCCGCGAGACCTGCAGCTTCCCACCATAGATGATATCAAAGAAGACCTGGCCAAGTTCACCATCGACCGTGTCAAGAAGGGCACCACCGTGGTCATACGCACCCCCAGTGGGATCAGCGCCTACGCCACCACTCAGCTGCCCAAGTTTGCAGTGCGTAGCATGCTCAAGACATTTGGCCTTACTGGAACTGTGCTTGATGTTGACACCGTAAGTGTGCTGAGATATGTGACTCTGGACATTCGTGGCGGGGGTGGGGTGTGTGTGTATTATATGAGCCTTCAGTGCCATAACCTGGAGTGGGTCAAGGGAGTATCATTCATTTTTAAGTCATATGAACTGCATTTGGGCTGGGTGAATGTGATCTTGGATTTAAGAGAGTGATTTTGTTACTAAAAGTTCACGTTACATTTTTATATGTTAACTATTTTTATATTTATTACCTATAGGCCAAAGCATATTTTTTATAATGCCAGATTTAAATTGATTCATTTTACGTAACAATAAAACAAAAAAAAATATCATGATCCATGCTGTTAAGAATCCCATTTAGAAATTTGATTTGTATCTTGCACAGCTATTGAACACAAATTTAAATGCTGGTTAGTGCACTTCTGGGGAATTGTCTTTTTCATCCTATTTAATACAGCATTACAGTCATACATACTGGCTGTGTTGCTTATGGTTGAAATGGCTAGAAAGACTTTGCCATTGTATGCTTGTACTTAGTTTTTGTCGTGTTGCGTTTGTTTTAAATGTGGTAAACTATAGATTTGTTTTTTTTTTGACTTTGTACCGCGCTTCGAGCCTTTGGGGATGAAGCGTGTTTTTGAAATGAACTTTATTATTATTATTATTATTATACATACACATATAGGTATATAATAATAATAATAATAATAATAATAGTAAGACATCTTTTATAGCGCGGTACCCCAGCCTAGGGCTGGGCTCACCGCGCTGTACATAGAAATTTTATCAAAAGAGACATAATCATGACATTAAAATAAAATACATTTATGAAAAAAAGAACAGCAATGTATATTCACCCACCCCACCACATAACTTTTACAAGGCAAACCATGGACGGCAGCCAGCAAGATCATTTATCTGTCAGAGGAGGGGAATAACTACCCAAAACAAATGACTATTCCATTACTAATACTATCTTTCCCCTCCTACTGCGCCGCCTAATATACTATTGTATATTTGTGATATTTTTAGCGACAACTGTTTACAAAATTTACAAACTTTTTTTGACATCTAGCCTTGATCTAGATTTTTGAGTCAATATAGGAGTTATCCAGGGAATATTAGAGTTATCCAGAGAATATTAGAGTTATCCAGTGATCATTCGAGTTGCACAGAGAACCTAAACCTATTATTTCACTGACTTTTGATGGATTTGATGGCATAACTGGATTTAATTTTGATCTCCTGACCTTAACCAAAAAGGATAATTTGCACAAACTCCACAGACCTCTGGTAGATTTAGGTCGATGTCTATTTTTAGAAGGGTGCCTGAGGCAGATACAAGATGCCAATGTTGATTAAGTGCTGGATAAAGATTTTTTTAAAACTTTACGTTTAGGCAAATGAGCTGGTTCAAGTAGAGACCTACCTGAGAAGTGAAGGAGTTTTGGTTCGATTCTGGTATCCCTTGCTTATGTTGGAGAAACCTGCCCAAGGCATGAGAAAAGCCTCCATCACAGGAGGACAGACCATGGACACATCAAATATATTTATACATAGGTACTTTCAGATAGGTTATTCTCTATCCATCTATACTAATGCATTTTATAACCTAAAAAAAAAAAATCATACCAAACATTTGATGAAGCAATCTAAATTGTGAGGGGAAAGTCACTTTGCTTAAATCGACAATGTCATTTCAAGTGTAAAGTTAAAAGACAAAAGCTTGAGATTGGTTTATAGAATACACAAAATGAGTAGATGCTTGTCAAGTAGAATTTACTTTTTTTATTTGTAAAACCTAATGATTTAATAAAATAGTTTTAAAAAAAAAAAAAGAATTTAAAATAAATAATTTAGTGACATTTGTTTTATTTTGATATTGTTTTCTCTCTCCGTCTAGAGAACTGTTGTCTAGTGAGTCATCCCTGGCCCGCATATATCTACGTACAGCCTTCTTACGCCTCACAGACCACTGTAACTCTCCAGCCATGGAGGTGACCACCTGTTCTGCCAGCCTTGGCTCCGGCATGGCAGCGTGTGCTGCTACTCTACAGGTACACTATTGGACAGGGTGACATTTTCCATCTTCCTGGTCTACAGCTCAATTTTTCAACGGCTGACGGGTGCCGATGGGATATGGATTACGTCTAGCATATACTTTAATTGCTATACATAATAAATAGTCTGGTTTTTTTAATCTGTATTTTTCCAATTCGTACAATGTTGAAAGGCTTTAAAGAGAAGCTCCTGCTTCTTTAACACATCCTGGTCTAATATGTAAGCCAACATTTTAAAATATCATGGCCTATTTGAACTGCAGGCCTAAACAAGACCTAAACTTTCTCACACAAGACTTTATTTAAAGATTGGTCGGGGGTTGGTGTGTTCTAGAGCAATGGTGATCTGTGGACTGGCACCGGTCCGCGATCTTATATTGCTAATGGCCAACGCTAAGGGTGTGCGGGACCATGGGCAAATTGAATTTTGTGGGGCCGTTGACATTAAAATATACCCAACTGATAGGATATTAAGAAATGTGATAGTCATACTGGGTCTTGCTGGTCCTAATGGACAAATCCTACAGGGTATTACTAATACTCTTGGGTTCGGAATTTTAAAATTATTTTTATAATGTAGCTTTTGATTCTATATGAGCAAGATCATGCTTTGGTTTGGCTAAGCACAAAGTTGTTTTTATAATGTAGCTTTTGATTCTATATGAGCAAGATCATGCTTTGGTTTGGCTAAGCACAAAGTTGTTTTTATAATGTAGCTTTTGATTCTATATGAGCAAGATCATGCTTTGGTTTAGCTAAGCACAAAGTTGTTTTTATAATGTAGCTTTTGATTCTATATGAGCAAGATCATGCTTTGGTTTTGCTAAGCACAAAGTTGTTTTTATAATGTAGCTTTTGATTCTATATGAGCAAGATCATGCTTTGGTTTTGCTAAGCACAAAGTTGTTTTTATAATGTAGCTTTTGATTCTATATGAGCAAGATTATGCTTTGGTTTTGCTAAGCACAAAGTTGTCTTTATAATGTAGCTTTTGATTCTATATCAGCAAGATTATGCTTTGGTTTTGCTAAGCACAAAGTTGTTTTTATAATGTAGCTTTTGATTCTATATGAGCAAGATTATGCTTTGGTTTTGCTAAGCACAAGGTTGTTTTTATAATGTAGCTTTTGATTCTATATGAGCAAGATTATGCTTTGGTTTTGCTAAGCACAAAGTTGTTTTTATAATGTAGCTTTTGATTCTATATGAGCAAGATTATGCTTTGGTTTTGCTAAGCACAAAGTTGTTTTTATAATGTAGCTTTTGATTCTATATGAGCAAGATCATGCTTTGGTTTTGCTAAGCACAAAGTTGTTTTTGTAATGTAGCTTTTGATTCTATATGAGCAAGATCATGCTTTGGTTTTGCTAAGCACAAAGTTGTTTTTATAATGTAGCTTTTGATTCTATATGAGCAAGATCATGCTTTGGTTTTGCTAAGCACAAAGTTGTTTTTATAATGTAGCTTTTGATTCTATATAAGCAAGATTATGCTTTGGTTTTGCTAAGCACAAAGTTGTTTTGATAATGTAGCTTTTGATTCTATATGAGCAAGATGCATAGTGCAAAATTAATATTACTTTTCAGACAGTTATCGGGCAGTTAATTCGTAATAAAAAGAACAGACTGATGGGCACTTAAAGAAAGTATCAACTGTAGGCCTAAGCAATATCATGAAATAACTACTTATTGTTTTGTTATGAGCTGACAGATCGGCACTTAAAGAATGTATCAAATGTAGGCCTAAACATTATCATGAAATAACTACTTATTGTTTTGTTATGAGCTGACAGATCGGCACTTTAAGAATGTATCAACTGTAGGCCTTAACATTATCATGAAATAACTACTTATTGTTTTGTTTGGCGCTGGCAGGAACTGGACCTGGAGAACATTCAACTTTTGTCAGAGCACCTTCTGGCAGCACCCTTCACCACCGGCACCCTGGAGGCCACATCCCCGTTCCAGATCTCGCAGCTGTCCCAGTTGTTGCTGACCCCTCTGGTCTCGCTGACCAGCCTGGTCTACCGGAATGACTTGAGGCTCAAGCGAGAGCTTGCTGTGGCCATTGCCAGGGCGTCCAACCAGGGGGAGGACTACCTCATTGAACTGACCAATCAGCTTTGTATGTGTCTGCAGGTAAAAAGCAAACCTATCTTTGATGGCAAGCAGAAATAAAACATTTGTTCAATAAGTGTGTAAAAAGATTTCAATGCAGTTGTTGAAGCTAAAAAGAAGATTCTAATTTTTTCAGAGTTATTAGAATTAGGTACGGATTAGGTAGAACTGTTGACAGATAAAGTACAGATTAGGTAGACTAGTTAACAGATATGTACAGATTAGGTAGACTAGTAAAAAGATAAGTACAGATTAGGTCAGACTATGAAGACTTGTTGACAGATGAGGTACAGATTAGTTAGACCTGTCGACAGATCAGGTACAGATAAGCTAGTTAACATTTGTTGTTGCTGTTTGGTTTTCCTCCCAGACTGCTCCAGAGATGTTCCCTTATGTTAACTTTGTGGTCAATGAGAACAAGATCGGTACTGATGTCCACTTCCCTGGGGCGGCCTGTGTCCTCGTGGCCTGTATCAAGAACTCGGACACTGGCAACAAAGAGTAAATGAGTTGTCTTTGCTTTGATAAGTTTCTGTGATGATGACCTAGATGAAACACATTTTGATCTAGAGAACATTCTCTGTTTTTTTTTATTATATTAATAAAACACAGTGCTTTCCAAAGGACATTTATATTGGCTGGAAAAGTGTAGAAGTAGAGTGCAGGAAAATACTTTTTTCCCAATTTGAAACCTAGTCGTAAAAATAAGTTTTCAGGCGCTGACAGCTCAATTTTAGTTTTGTTTTGTGTATAGCAAAGAAATATTGGTACGTTGAAGCAAGTCTTTGAAATATCCAGCATTCTCTTCACAAACATTACCAGCTTTCTCTTCACAAACATTACCAGCTTTCTCTTCACAAACATTACCAGCTTTCTCTTCACAAACATTACCAGCTTTCTCTTCACAAACATTACCAGCTTTCTCTTCACAAACATTACCAGCTTTCTCTTCACAAATATTACCAGCTTTCTCTTCACAAACATTACCAGCTTTCTCTTCACAAACATTACCAGCTTTCTCTTCACAAACATTACCAGCTTTCTCTTCACAAACATTTCCAGCTATTCACAAACATTTTCAAAATATGTTTTTTGCTGCAGGAATCCACCATACAGAGCTCCGTGGGCTAGAATCAGCACCTACACTGGCAAACGAATTAAGAAGTGTGGCCAGGTCACCCGACAGGAAGTTGTCTGCTATCCTCGTGACGTCCACTGTCAAACAAACACTAATGACCAGTATGCTGCAGCCATTATTCCAGGAGATCGTGTTTATGTGAAGATTGGGGTCTCCCCTCCTCCCGGGGCCACCGTCACCCTCCATGCCCTCCCCCCTCAGTTCTTACTTGCTGTTGCCTACATGGAAACCCTTGTCACAGAAACTTTTGGTTGTGGGACTCAGGCTTGTGGGATCAGGTCCGAAAAGGTTGGTGCGCAGCGAGATTGCAGCCTCAACTCTGAGCTGAGCGTTTCAAGTGGCTCCTCGGCCACTTCCTTGTCAATGAATGTTGAACTTCCTGACACAAACCCGAGTCTGTGGAGCTTGGAAAACATCAATATAACACCACCTGTGTTCCTTCATATGATCGAGTTCTTGTGTGGTTTCCTGTGGAAGACGGATGTGCCGGCCTTGATGAAAGAGTATATGCTTCACCTCCTGGCACAGACCCTCAGGATTCTCCACTACAGTGAAGGGAGTGAGGGAAGCAGGTTGACCAAGCTAAGTCTGAGGCTAAGTCCTACACAAGGCATGCTGAACTACTTGCCCAGAGAGCTGAAGAAACTCTACGATCTTGAGGTCAAGAGCCTGCCAGAGATGACAACCAATGCCGGCCAGGGTATAGGTCTGGGCGTCACCGACACGGGCAGGTGGTCGACATACCTACACGCACTGATGGAGGTGTGTCTGGCCATATCGGAAGTCATCCCTTGTGAGATATATCCGAGCAAGCAGGCAGCAGACCATGCTGCTGAAGAATCAGGGGCTGGCACCAGCTCGGTGTCACACGGACTGAAGGTGATCAGCAAGAAAAAGAAGCTGAAACCCAAGCAAGATAGGACGGTGGCCTCCATCCGCAGGTCCAGTGTAGACCAAAGAGGGGGGACGGACAGCTCAGAGAACGTGGATCCTTCTCTCAGCCCCAGCAATGTACATTTATCCCACTCCCTGGATGCCCAGCCTACACCAGCGTCTGGCATCCCGGTAGTGACATCACCCCCTGTGAAAGCTTCCAGCAACTCGAGCATCTGCAGCGTGTCTGTTGCCTCGTCCTCCTCATCAGTCAAAGTTGATGATGTGGCCTGGTTTCCAGCTGCGGCTTCTACTTCAAAAATACTGCGCTACTTGGCTCTGAAAGAGCCGCATTGCTTGGAGGATGTGAATGAGGCTGTCAAGATGGCTGCTCAGTCTCTGGTCATGCCCACAGCTCATTCAAGACTCTTGGTCATCACAGGTATACCCACTTACCTGGATCTGACCACCGTTAAGAAATCTATTCGTAAAGTCTGTAATAGTTACGGAGGGCTGGACCACGATGAGATCTACGTACCCACCCCGGGGGATCTGAGCGCACAAGTGACCAGAACAGCAGCGCAGGATTCAACTGTGCTGTCACTCTCCTCAGCCGCCGGGGCCGACCCCGGCTCTGTGCTCAGTGAAGGCGGCCAGCAGGACAGTAAGCTCGAGTCCTCCATCTCCCAGCCCACCACACCCACGACACCAACCCCGGAGCCTAAGAAAAAATCCAGACTCATTGAAGGCTATGCTGTGATAAGCCTGCCTTCAAAAACTAAGATAGACTTGGTCAAAAAATCTTTCCTCAAATCAAAATGGCTGAACCTTGGGCTTGGTGAAGAGGCGGCTGCCAACCTTGAAGCGCCTGATGAGAATTTAAATGTTCAGACGGTTACCCCAGCTTTACTCACTGAGCCAGAGGCTAATTCTGCTTTGGAGAGTTACCTTCTCTTTAAACTCTCTGGCAAAATGGGTGGTCAGACTTTAGGACCCGTGGCTAGTCAGATACTGACAGAGATTTTCTACAGCAGTTACTTTGTGGACCAGCAGCAGGATTCTGGGGACATCTGTCTGTGCAAGGAGCAGATTCTCAACACAGCCGGTGAAAACCTGCTGGCACCATTCTTTAATGCAGTGAGACCCAGCAAGAAACTCCTGGCTGATGCTGTGACCGGGGTGTTGAGACAATATGGAGTGGTCAAGTCTAGAGACAAGGAAACGTAAGCCTTTATGTTGGTGTCTTGTTGATCAGACATTGAACCCATGGCGGTTAAGCTCTAGCTTAGAGAGAGCCTTGTTGTGTGTTAAGACTGTAGACATAGCTTGAAGTTTTCAACAAATGACATGAAACTTTACACTTTTTAAAATGAGACATGATATCTAACAGCTGTTCAAATCCCCTTATCAAAATTGTGTAGCAAACAAGCAAATATCCCAAGTATTAATATTGTGTAGCAAACAAGCAAATATCCCAAGTAACATTAATATTGTCACATGAACAGGCAAATATCCTAAGTAACATCAATATTGTGTAGTAAAAAGGCAAATATCCTAAGTAACATCAATATTGTGTAGTAAACAGGCCAATATCCTAGGTAACGAATGGTATTTCAATGCTCAGGCAAGACCATCATTAAATCAAATTAAATCTTGTAGGTCTTCTGTTTCTGCCATGCCCAATAATTTAAACATGTGCACTAGTTTATGCATAGCAATTAACACACTAGTTTGTACATAGCATAGAGCTAGACTTTAAAGAATATGAATTTTGATTGGAAAAAATAACAATTCTCTTTCTTTGGATCAATAAAAGTATCTTAGCTATTTTTGTACACATAAGGGTTGTACTGCAGTTATTTTGTTCACATTAAGTTTTGTGTTTGAAATGTCTCTGAGACAGTGCAACTCATTCAGTTGTAAATTCTAATTGTTTTCACACTCTCTATTTATCTGTGTCGTATTATATAGTTGCATGTTCCTATATTTTTTCATAGATTATTTCTGACCGCTTTAGGATGACACATTCAATATTTTTCTAGCACTCCTTCTGCATTAATTTGGATTTTTTGTGTTGTTTTATGTGTATACAGCTTTACATGAAGTCAGTCGTGCCTGCAGGTCTGTGGTTGGGCCAAACCACGATTTTGAATTGTAATACAGATCATTTTTATGTATATGAAACCAGTGATGCCCCAGCTCTGTGCCAAGCTACAATTTTGAATTGTAATCAAGATTATTTTTATTGTAATCACATATGACATGATAAAACTTGAGGCATATACCGGTACTACAATGGCAATGTAGAATATAAACCTTAGGGAACATATCTCAATTTTCATTCCCTTAGCCTGCAGCCATGTTGCTGTTTATTGATGCTGTGGACAGACACACCCTCAGTAAACTTACTAAAACTAACAGTTGATACAAAAGGGACTTTACTGTCTGTTTAAAAGGGCTTAAGAAGTTTAAGCATTATCAGAGTCAATATGACCAAGCTTAACAATTGATGAAAATAGATGTGTTTTTACTAAGTAACAATTACTAAAGACAATTCCTTAAAAAAGAACTGCAACTCTTTCAGGTCACCTGTTGCCACAGACAAGAGCAGCAAGGGAAAGACAACTAAAAAACCAGTCAGCAGATCCCAGAAGGAGAAACAAGCCCTCTGCATGGAGAAGGAAAAGGAGGAGAAGTTAGTTTTCTTTTGCACTTGGTTAAAAAAATATGTCATTTACAAAATCTTTGTGCAGCTCATTTAACTTTTAGGAACCAGTGCTCAGGATACAGGGCATAACTTGAATGTCAGAAATTCCTAGAAGGAGTTAGATGTGAGAGGCAGTGGTGGATTTATGATGAACCCTGTATATGCCCCCCTCATCCCATAGGTGTAGCCTAAATTTTAAAAAGTAAATAAAATAATACGATTTGAAAGAGTTGGAGAATGTTAGAGAAGATTGCAAAAGACCAGAAGATGTGGAAAGATATTGTAAAGGCCTATGCTCTAATGGGAGTTAAATAAGGCAAAGAAGAAGTAATACCAAAAACCTGATATTTTTGCTATCAGTGGCTATCTTTCATTGCTTAAGTCACTTTTAGTTTGATAATACTTAATGAGAGACAATACCTTTAAAAGGTCCCATTTTAAAATATTAAGTTTGCAGAGAAATATTTACTGACAAACTAATTTCTATGGAAGGGGTTGGGGGTATTAGATAAAGAGGACTGTAAAAGAAAGATGGTGTGAACAACTCTTAATGTGACCTACTTAAGCTCAGCAGCTGGTGTGTTGTGACAGGTTTACAGGTGTGTTGTGACATGGTTACAGGTGTGTTGTGACAGGTTTACGGGTGTGTTGTGACAGGTTTACAAGTGTGTTGTGACAGGTTTACAGGTGTGTTGTGACAGGTTTACAAGTGTGTTGTGACAGGTTTACAGGTGTGTTGTGACAGGTTTACGGGTGTGTTGTGACAGGTTTACAAGTGTGTTGTGACAGGTTTACAGGTGTGTTGTGACAGGTTTACAAGTGTGTTGTGACAGGTTTACAGGTGTGTTGTGACAGGTTTACAGGTGTGTTGTGACATGTTTACAGGTGTGTTGTGACAGGTTTACAGGTGTGTTGTGACAGGTTTACGGGTGTGTTGTGACAGGTTTTCAGGTGTGTTGTGACATGTTTACAGGTGTGTTGTGACAGGTTTACAGGTGTGTTGTGACAGGTTTACAAGTGTGTTGTGACAGGTTTACAGGTGTGTTGTGACAGGTTTACCAGTGTGTTGTGACAGGTTTACAGGTTTGTTGTGACAGGTTTACAGATGTGTTGTGGCAGGTTTACGGGTGTGTTGTGACAGGTTTACGGGTGTGTTTGACAGGTTTACAGGTGTGTTGCAAGATTTAGCAATAAAGTTATACAAATAATTGTAAATGCTTTGAAAGCCTCTGTTCTACAGCCTTATTTTAACAAGATGTGTTTCTATGTTCAGATCTCAGTCAACCGATAAAGAGAAACTGAGTGCAGCCGGCAAGGAGGATAGTGAGAAAACTGAGAAGTCACCCAAGGAGAAGGAAGGAGCCACTGCTGATGTAGCACTAAAGGAGTCCAAGGTCAGGAGTCAGGTCATGGTCTCTTTGTGCACTATTTTGGGCAGTTAATAGTTTTTTGGTGCTCAGTAATGTATGAATTCATTGTTAACATTGTTGCCAGCCCAAGCTCACTTGTGACTCTCCATTATAACACTTACTTGACAGGAGCTTAGCTTTGCAGGGAGCACAGGAAAGATATATTTTGTAGAAACATTTTAGTAACATACTTTGCTCCTTTTTTTTAAGTAGGAAAAAATATTTTCTCTCCTCAATTACATGATTTTATGTAATGCTTTTGTTGAATATTTTCCTCTGAACTTTGAACCCTATTCAACATGACTGATGTTTAGTTAGCCTGTACAGAAGCCTATATCCTGGTTCTTATTTTAACGTGGGAATGCCCATGCAAAATGTGAAATAAAGATAAGTTTATTTTCGTACTTAACTTTGAGGCAATAAACCTGGCATTTCAGAGCGCCACCAAATGCGAAGGTCGTCTCCTGACACTGAGCAGCTTCATGCAGTACTGTGAAGATTTGATCAAACAGGACTTGCGGGCATTATGGAAAGGTCTCTTTGCTTGTGGTCTTGACCTTCATCTTGAAAGGTAGGTACCAAAGGATTTGAGACCACCATTGCCACCAGTAGAAACGGCCAGGGCAGAACATCAACAGATTCTAATGGAAAGAGCAAATTAAATAAATATAAAATTTAAAAAAAAAAAAAAATTTAATGGGTTTCTATAATAATTTTTTTCTTTCTTAACTGATGTTAGAGTAACTTATACTTTGTCAAGATGCAGGAACAAAAGCCAAATAAATTGGTCACAAGACAAAAAATAAATGTTTGTTTAGTTGTGCTTTCATGTAAAGTGTCAATAGTTGATGAGGGGAAAAATGTTGACCCTGAAAGCACAATATGACAAACCAGCACATACTTAAGAACAGAGACCTGTTTCACAGACCACTGATTGGGTGCCCCCCCCCCCCAGTATTCTGCAGTGAATATTGAAGATGTTGACTTGGCTCTCAAACTTTCTTCCCCTCCCAGATGTTCATTCCCAGATGTGACATCGGCCAATGAGCTGATGACTGAGTGGACCATTGAGAAAGATGGCGCCCTGGTTATGTATATTAATGAACTTTGCTCTCAGCTTTCCATCTCATCCGCACGGCTTCACCCTCATGAAGTCCGCATCATTGATGCCCATTTGACCAATGAAAGATATTCCTGTCTGCAAGGTGAGTCCGCATCATTGATGCCCATTTGACCAATGAAAGATATTCCTGTCTGCAAGGTGAGTCTGCATCCTTGATGCCCATTTGACCAATGAAAGATATTCCTGTCTGCAAGGTGAGTCCGCATCATTGATGCCCATTTGACCAATGAAAGATATTCCTGTCTGCAAGGTGAGTCCGCATCCTTGATGCCCATTCCCCCCAATTGTCTTTGGTTCTCTTTTAATATCCTTTTCTGAACATAAAGTAAAATTGCAGTTGTTTCTCTCCTGCTATTCTTAGCTATTTCATACATCTAGATTGTAAAGATACAATTATGAGTTACAATGAAATGAAGAAAAAAGGTTGTTCAAGACAATTGACTCATGGAATATTTCATTGACTATTTTTAAAAGATGCTAATCGGTTGTTGTTGTTTTGGTCTCAGTCATAAGACGACTAGAGAAGGGTATTGTCTCATCAGGATCATTGACCTAACATTTGTTAAAATGGAACAATTGATTGATCCTCCTGAAATGCCAATCTCCTATTCCTATCAGGTTTGTCAGTAGAGAGCACACGTTTAAGGTTCGCCTTCCTGCAAGATCTGAACAACTCCTTGGAAACTTCTTTCCTACCGCTGATTGACCTAAGGCCTGCTAATGTATACAGTCGAAGTACAGCCTGCGTCTTGTCCCAGCTCAGGTCAATCATATTCTATGACACCAAGGTCAGTTGTCAGACTGTTATAATATTATCGTAGTTATCTAGCCATAATTTGTTAAAATTGATATAACATAATGTACAACTACAACAAAAGGCTGTATTTAAAGGGTAAATGTTATTAATTCTTTTTTCCTTGTTTTGACTTACCGACACAGGTACTTTTTTTCTCCTTCTGAAAATTTTTTTTAATGCGGGGAGAGAGAGAGAGAGAGAGAGAGAGAGAGGGTGGTGGTTGGGTTGGGGGAGGGGGGGGGATATTCTGATGTGTTTTTATTGTTTTCAGGGTTGCAGAATAAGTTGTCAGATTTTTTTCTTCATATTTACAAGTTATAAACCTATTTAGAAATGTTATTAATTTTTTTTTCCTTGTTTTGACTTACCGACACAGGTACTTTTTTTCTCCTTCTGAAAATTTTTTTTAATGCGGGGAGAGAGAGAGAGGGAGAGAGAGAGAGAGGGTGGTGGTTGGGTTGGGGGAGGGGGGGGGATATTCTGATGTTTTTTTATTGTTTTCAGGGTTGCAGAATAAGTTGCCAGATTTTTTTCTTCATATTTACAAGTTATAAACCAATTTAGAATCCAAATTTTTTTTATACCCAGTGGTAGCAACTCTCAACTATTTATTGCCTTAATGGCATCAAATATGAGAGATTTATACATTTTTATCCTTTATCGAGTTATTACATAAAATTATTTGCAAAATTAAGCTGTTATTTAATGAATCTTAACACTACCGAATTTCCCCATCATAAATACTTGATGGTCTCCCTTTTATAAAAAAAATTTCCATTATACAGAATTTAAGAACCTAAACATGTCTGTATTTAAAATTTGAAATCTCAATGGTATTGTTATTGTTACTACAAAGACCTATAACAAGAAGATAACTCTTTTAAATGTGCACAGCTCGCCTTGCTAGTCACGAGCTTGAGCTGATGAATGTGGTTGGTGAAAATTATGTTTGTGGTGGTCTGTACTATTAAAAAAACTATCCATGTTTTTAGGTCAACTTCATCAACAGAATCCTCAACGCATCGGCCAAAAGAAAACCTGACCAGGCCGCACCTGAGATTACTTTAAATCCATTGGAGGGGATCGGCGTTGGTGAGTGAAGCGGATTATTTTATAACTGAAAGTTGGCGTTGGAATGTTGGTGTGCGTTTATTTAACCTGATGCCGGCCACCGCCTTAGGATTTTGCTGCATTCAACAGAAGCTTAGAATAATTCTTGTCCAGGTGAAGGATGTAACTTAGCCCAGTTTTGTATGTTAAATGGTGTCTTTGTCACAACACAGATGCTCTATAATCTGTCACTTTGACACCCAGAGATGGGACATGACAGCTCTGAAAGGTTTTGTTACTATGTTGTTCATTTTTTTCATACATGTTTTTTGACACCCAGAGATGGGACATGACAGCTCTGAAAGGTTTTGTTACTATGTTGTTCATTTTTTCCATACATTTTTTTGACACCTAGAGATGGGACATGACAGCTCTGAAAGGTTTTGTTACTATGTTGTTCATTTTTTCCATACATGTTTTTTTTACCAGCTGAGAAAAGCAGTCAGGCCAGCATTTTATGTCAGTCCTACTGTCAGTTGTCAACCATCAGCTCCAGGAAGTTGTGTGTCCGGCTGGCTAGCGGGGGCGACCCCACATACTCTTTTAACGTCAGGATGGTCGGTGAAGAAGTGCATGGAACAAGTGAGTGGTTGGTTCAACGTGGGACAAAAGTTTTGTTTGATGGGTTCTGAGCAGAGCTTTCTTCTGATTAAGACTGTAGGGTCCTAGAGTATTTGATAGACTGTCGGCAAAATAACTTTGGGTTATCTGTGTCGGCAAAATAACTTTGGGTTATCTGTGTCGGCAAAATAACTTTGGGTTATCTGTGTCGGCAAAATAACTTTGGGTTATCTGTGTCGGTAAAATAACTTTGGGTTATCTGTGTCGGCAAAATAACTTTGGGTTATCTGTGTCGGCAAAATAACTTTGGGTTATCTGTGTCGGCAAAATAACTTTGGGTTATCTGTTAAAAGACAGGAATTAGAATGTAAACACAAAAAAAGGAGGATTTTTTGACAATGTAATATGTAATATTAAGTCCCAACAGATTTGGCTCATATTGTTCATCAGGAGGCACAGAATTTTATTATTTGGTTTTCTCTTAAATTTAGTTGAATCTTCGTGTGTAAATTAATTTTTTACTAAAAAAAAATGTTTAAAATTGAAGTTAAAACTAAACAGAACTGTTTACTTTTATGATTTTGGCGTACAATGTACAATTTTGAGGTGTATACATAATATATATTGCATGTTTATATTTTAGTATAAAGATAATATATTGACCGATTTTGTGATGATATTGTACGATTTTAAGAGTTTGAGGGTAAACAGGTCTGCATTTATTATTTAGTTAATATTCCAACAAGTTTTTTTGACATGTTGATTCAATGTATCAAACTTCAAGGAATCAAAGTTAACTTTCTGGGGGGAGTTAAGTGTTGATTCAATGTATCAAACTTCAAGGTATCAAAGTTAACTTTCTGGGGGGAGTTAAGTGTTGATTCAATGTATCAAACTTCAAGGTATCAAAGTTAACTTTCTGGGGGGAGTTAAGTGTTGATTCAATGTATCAAATTTCAAGGTATCAAAGTTAACTTTCTGGGGGGAGTTAAGTGTTGATTCAATGTATCAAACTTCATGGTATCAAAGTTAACTTTCTGGGGGGAGTTAAGGAACCACACCTTGATTTTTGTGGGTGAAAATTTTTCCTCAATTCATTTTTCTTGGAGTATTTAACCAATTTGTATGTTTTGATGTAATTTTGATTATTTTTTAAATAGTTTAAAATGTATCAATGATCAAAAAGTTTATGAATGGATAATCCTACAAAAATAGTTAGATTAAAATTGAGTTTAAAATATCTTACTTATTCTTTTAACTGTAAATTCTATAATCTATTTATCTTACATCACGGCACCTTGATAAGTATTGTAAGGTAAATTTATTCTTCTTCTATTCTTCAAGGTGGATCATTTCGCCACTACTTGTGGCAGGTGGCTCATGAACTCCAGTCTCCTGCTCTGTCATTACTGATACCCTGTCCCAGCTCGGCTGCTGGGATCAACAAAGGGAGGCTACTCTTAAAGCCTGGCAAGATGACATACTCAGAAGAGAATTTGTTGCTTTTTGTTGGCCAGGTAAACGACTTAGTGGCAGCCAATGCTCAGTGGGATTCTGTTAAACTTGTTGTATCCCGATAATGAATGTGATATTATTTAATGTTATACTTTCAATCCTTGTCACGGATAAATTAAATCACTAAAATGTATAAAGGCATAAGTGATATTATTTAATGTTATACTTTCCATCTCTGTCACAGATAAATGAAATCACTAAAATATATAAACACATTACCATTTCTAAATAGTAATTAAATTTAAAAACTGTTCATTTAAAACTACTAGTGGGATGTCGATACACACTAAATGACCAAAATATAGGCTCAGAAAACCTACATTAACAAAAGTTATACATTGACACAATCTGAAAATGAGCATCCTTGATTGTTATAACAATTTATTATTGATGCCCGGTGTTTGTTATAACAATGTATTATTGGTGCCCGGTGTTTGTTATAACAATGTATTATTGGTGCCCGGTGTTTGTTATAACAATGTATTATTGGTGCCCGGTGTTTGTTATAACAATGTATTATTGGTGCCCGGTGTTTGTTATAACAATGTATTATTGGTGCCCGGTGTTTGTTATAACAATGTATTATTGGTGCCCGGTTGCTTGACACAGCACTTCAGTTGAACGCAGTTGAAGAAGTTGTGGTAGGAGACCTACTATTGGTCAGCGACCGGAAATGATGTTTTGTATCAAATAGCTGCAATGATCCTTTCAGCTCTTGGGCATCACCATCAGGGCAGACATACCGCTTGGCCTTGACCTTCTGTCCACAGTGTGGAAGCTTCTAGTCGGAGGGAGCCTCGACCCGGCCGTTGACCTGCAGCAAGCAGATGCCTTGACCTACAGATACATCAAAAGGATTGAAATGGTAAGTATTACTCTACAAGTGTGTGTGTGTGATGCATTTGGAAGGAATGGCTCAAACTTTCTTTTCCATATCTTCTATATTGTGATGTTCATAGTATTTAAAAGAAGACAAGGAAAACAAGCACAAGTCCCTCTTCCCCCCTCAACAGAGTTCTGCCACTGCCCAGATGTGGCCTTTTCTATTGCTTATTAAATAAAGAGTCTGTCATTAATGAAGCTAGTGCCACTTTCCTAGATAAGACAACTTGATGTTTAAGGGAGTATGTACCACTTCTAGATATACAGGTTATTAAATAAACGTATCTTCAAACTGCCACTGAGTCTTTAGTCATTAGCAGTGATGATGGGCAGCCACTGTGATTTGATGGTGGCCCCATGGCTGCCCACTACTACTGCTAATCACTAAACACTTTATTTCATGTATACGTTAATTTCTCTCATGCTCTTCCAACTTTGTTTGATGTATACGTTAATTTCTCTCATGCTCTTCCAACTTTGTTTGATGTATATGTTAATTTCTCTCATGCTCTTCCAACTTTGTTTGATGTATACGTTAATTTCTCTCATGCTCTTCCAACTTTGTTTGATGTATACGTTAATTTCTCTCATGCTCTTCCAACTTTGTTTGATGTATACGTTAATTTCTCTCATGCTCTTCCAACTTTGTTTGATGTATACGTTAATTTCTCCCATCCTCTTCCAACTTTGTTTGATGTATACGTTAATTTCTCTCATGCTCTTCCAACTTTGTTTGATGTATACGTTAATTTCTCCCATCCTCTTCCAACTTTGTTTGATGTATACGTTAATTTCTCTCATGCTCTTCCAACATTATTTCATGTACATGTTAATTTCTCTCATCCTCTTCCAGCTAACCTGATTGCAGTCTCTCCCCTTATTACCCTTTTATTTCATGTATATGTTAATTTCTATCCTTGTCTCCCACAATTTATTCAATCTCTTTGTGGCCTCACTACCAGGCTGAGACGGAGCCTGAACTTGAAAGTGTGTGTGGTGATGGAGAGCCCCGATTTGTTTACACATCTCTAACAGGACTGGACACTGAACTTGTACCTGGTGGGAGGGCAATCTATGTCAAGTACGTTCATGTACTTGTCTCCAATTTAACATACTAGAATAATGTACAGTGGAAAATTTAAAATTTAGCCTTTTCTACTTTCTCTACTGAGCCTGTGTAGTTAGGTTTGGTGCTTTGGTTGTTCTCTCTCAACAGCAGTTTCTTATGAAGATATCTGAGAAATGGTTTGATGTTACCATTAGTTTCTTATGTAAACCTGAGAAAATGAATTAATGTCGCCATTAGTTTCTTATGTAGAACTAACTGAGAAATGAATTAAATTTCACCATTTGTTTCTTATGTAGACCTAACTGAGAAATGGTTTGATGTCACCATTATTTTCTTATGTAGACCTAACTGAGAAATGGTTTGATGTCACCATTATTTTCTTATGTAGACCTAACTGAGCAATGGTTTGATGTCACCATTAGTGTCTTATGTAGACCTAACTGAGCAATGGTTTAATGTCAACTTTGTTGTTTAAAATGTACTCTACCTAAAAACGGTGTTTATGGTTCTCTCCTACATTGCCATGGTTCTTTCCCTTCAATGATCAGCTGGCAAAATCGACAGGCCTACATTGATGCCATCAAAAGGATGCGTTTGCGGGAACTGACCAGCGGTCAGCGAGTGGCAGCCGTTGTCGCAGGATTATCCAGTCTGGTTCCGTACCAGGTCCTGACCCTGATGTCTCCTCTTGACCTGGAGGTCAGGACTAGCGGACGGCCTCACATCAACTTGGACTTTCTCAAAGTAATTACAAATGATTTCTTTATAGTAATTAAAGGCCTTATTTATAATAGAAGTCTTGGATCATATACATCTCAGATTTGACCATAAATATAGTTTTTAATCATATCCAGCTTTTCCCCCATATTCAAAAAAAATTTTTTTTTTATTACACTTGACATTAACTTGGTTAGTTTTTCCAAATTTTCCTTCAGTTTCACTTAACTTAAGAAGTGATGTTTAGTACACTACTGAAACTGACATTATATTTTAACCTTTCAAAGATTGATAGATCCTCCATTTTCCATTTCAAAACGACCTGTGTTATTAAAATTTTGAATTGACTCAAAAATATATCCATTCATCGATCCTTCCCTGTGGCACTTCAGTCCATGTAGGACTTTGACCTGCCTCACCACATCCTTCCACTCAGACCATCATCCTTCCTTTTGGTGCTTCAGTCCTTGTAGGGCTTTGAATGAGCCTCACCACATCCTGCCACTCAGACCTATCCATCTTCCATGTGGCACTTCAGTCCATGTGGCGCTTAGGCCTGCCTCACCACATTCTTCCACTTGGACCTAAACTAATGCTTTTTGATTTTTTTTCCATGTTTGGATTCCCAGCTGCTGTAGATCTTTTTCCAAATCATCCCTCTAAGCCTAGGTCTGCCTTGAGCTGTTTTCCTCTGGGGTTGTGGTGATGTACCCTCTTCACTCCTCTGTCATTCAGCATCATTTGGCATTCTTTTTAAGTGTCCCGCCAGGTTGTAGCCTGTCCTGCCAGGTTGTAGCATGTCCCGCCAGGTTGTAGCCTGTCCCATCAGGTTGTAGCCTGCCCCGCCAAGTTGTAGCCTGTCCCGCCAGGTTGTAGCCTGTCCCGCCAGGTTGTAGCCTGTCCCGCCAGGTTGTAGCCTGTCCCGCCAGGTTGTAGCCTGTCCCGCCAGGTTGTAGCCTGTCCCGCCAGGTTGTAGCCTGTCCCGCCAGGTTGTAGCCTGTCCGGCCAGGTTGTAGCCTGTCCCGCCAGGTTGTAGCCTGTCCCGCCAGGTTGTAGCCTGTCCCGCCAGGTTGTAGCCTGCCCTTTTTATTTTTGCTGCTAGTTAGGGATCCGGATAAGTCCATACAATTCCAGTTTTTTGTGTGTTTTTTTTGCATTCTCCATCCATATTCATCCTTTGTTGCTCCATATCTTTTCCAAAGAAATTGTCTCTCTGATGTGTTTAATTGGTTTTATTCCATTTTGGTCCAAGTTTCACTTGCATATGTTGAAACTGGCTTGGTAACAGTTTTATAGATAGTTTTCTTTGTTTTTCTTGTAATGGTTTTACTAATGAGTATTTTGTGACTACTGAAGTATGCCCTGTTTCCGGTCGACATTCTTTCTTTTATTTTAGTTAGTAAATCATTTCTTTCATTGAATAAAGATTCTAGTTAAGAATTAATTTACATTTTCAAAAGTGTGGTTTCTAATTATAATGGTTTCAACTGCCTGTTCTTCTCTTAACTTAATCATGTATTTAATTTTTTTGTTGTTTAACTTTTATCTGATCCTCTTTTAACAATATTAAAAGTATCATTTTTATTTCTACACTCGAAATTTCAGAGAATCATGAATTTAAAAACAAGGCTCATGTTAAATTTAAAAAAAATTCTTTTATCTGAAAAAAGTAATATTTTCTGTCAATGTTTGCCATCCAGGCTCACACTATGTACCAAGTAGGATTGGTGGAGTCGGACTCCCACATAGAATACTTTTGGACAGCCCTGGAGTCTTTCAGTCAAGAGGAGTTGACCAGGTTTATCAAGTTTGCTTGTAACCAGGAGCGTGTCCCCCACACATGTCCTTGCCAGGAGGGTGGACCAGACTCTGCACACGTCCCACCTTTCCCCATGAAAATTGCTCCACCCGATGGCTCAGGTAATGACATTTGTTTAACCACACAGACAAATTTTAAGCTGCCCTACAGATAGTGGGAAACATGTATCAACTCTGTCAACATCGGTTTAGCGGATGGAAACATTTGATGACATATTTTGAACCTCTTGATAATTTGTAAAAAGTTGAAATTAGATCTAATCAAAGGGATTAGTTATTTCTTATATTTAAAAAAAAAATAAATTAAGGCAAGTATCCGCCAATGTTAATGGCTTGGATGCAATCTTCATTGGTTATATCATTAATAGCAGAATTTTTGGTCTCTCTGTGTTACACTTTTGTAATGTTCCTAAACAGACATATTTTGTGTGGATGCATCTCTCCCGAAAACATGAAAAGAAAGAGTGGAAGAATTTAGGACAGCTTTATAATAATAACAAATGTAGAAAATCTGAAGCTGACCCTGGAATTTGATTGTGTTTGAATGATGACATGCCCTCTTATACTTTGGCCAACGTTGAGATACTCTTTTTCAGTGAAAGCAGATCCAACCGATAGCATAGATATCAATGGCATACAAGCATTAGCATTCATTAAAATGGGGATTTGATGTGGGAACTATTGTCTTTGAAATGAAAGTCAAATTCCTTTCTAGCACGATCATCAACAATGCTACAGAATAGAAGTTTTTTTTTTTTTAGCTTGGCGCGCTCTCTTCAAAGTTTTTGCTTTTGCTTAACAGGTCCACCAGATGCTCGTTACATCCGAGTGGAGACCTGCATGTTTATGGTCAAGCTCCCGCAATACTCCAGCCAGGAAGTCATGACCCAACGTCTCCGCTACGCCATCAACTGCAGGGAGGACCCCTTGAGTGGCTAGACATTTTCCGTTATCACTATGACAACACACGTGCTCAATCAAATCTGATTCTAAATTCATTTTTATATTTATTTTAAAAAATCATTTTCAAAATTAATAATCCTATCAGTGTCTCAAAAGTTTTTTTTTTTATTTAAAAAATGTTGATTTACCTTTATTGACAATGACGGCAAATAATGTAAAAATCTTACTTCTGAACACTTAGGGAGGTTTGATGTCAAGATTAAGTATTTTTACTACAATTTCAACAAAATGTCGACCTTTTTTGTTCATTGTTTGATAATGAATTATTTTTTTTTTTCAAATTAATTGTTTCACTTTGCGTTATACAGACGTTTGTTTTCTCAATGAATTTACTTTTTTCATTTGCAAGTAATTTATTTTCGGTGAGTTATTTTGAAAGTCGTACGTGAGCTCACATATTTTGAGATCATTGCTGGTCATCTTTTGTTTATGCTGGTGACAGCAGTGATAAGCAAACCCTTATGGTTCTTGTAGCTGCAATAATATAAGATAATATATATCCCCCCAACATATTTATAATCTTTCTCGTGTAAACACGATAAATAAGGATGAGTCTTTCTCAACACTTAATAATAATAATAATCTTACAGTTGATAAACAACCCGCAACAGTTTTGGGACTCTTTGTAAGGGGCCTGATGGAGCTTCAGAGCTCCTAAGAAGGGTCTCACGTTGTTCATTTATGATGTAGCTATTTCCATAGTGACATGAGCGAAACTAGATATTTTTGTGACAAATGGGAAGCCATTTTCTTTTCAACTTGTGACTCTTTGAGTTTTTTCTTCTTCATCACGAACATGTTCAAAATATCTTTACTGAAATTCAGTTTTAGTGGTCCATCCAGCTATTACATCATTCATTATTTAGTTGAATTTTTTTCCAATTTCTTTTTAGTATAATTTGTATGTATATGTTAAACATCATATATAGTATGGGGGCAATTGTTACTGGTGAAGGAGAGTCTATGGTCATAGGTACCAGATAGGAACCACTATGTTCTCATGTTTTTGAGGACATCAGCTCAGAAAGTTATGATTAGATCTGAAGGTGTATTTCACTTATTTGGTCAACTCTACCAGTCATTTTTGTTTGCCCATCATTTCTATCTGCATATGTTGACAATATGTACCTGCCCAGGAAACTGACCCATTCTTGATGATATCCTATGACCCCACAATCAAAAGGAGTCTGATCACTGCTCAATGATTGATGCTACTTTTTAGACACACTGTAGTCATCCTGACCAGTTTTTTCAACTAATGCTTGCAACTACCCTCATAAGGGTTTTGTTTTTTAATAAACTAACTTTTTTTTTTGTGGTACTGAACAAAGGCTGGGTACAGGTGGATTAGACAAAGGCTGGGTACACATGAGAATAGACATGGGCTGGGTACAGGTGAAATTAGACAAATACTGGTTGGATACAGATTGCATTGGACAAGGGCTGGGTACAGTTTGGATTGGATAAGGGCTGGGTACAGGTGAGAGACAAGGGATGGGTACAGGTGGGAGACAAGGGCTGGGTACAGGTTGGATTGGACAAAGGCTGGGTACAGGTTGGATTGGACAAGGGCTGGGTACAGGTTGGATTGGACAAGGGCTGGGTACAGGTTGGAGTGGACAGATACAGATTGCATTGGACAAGGGCTGGGTACAGTTTGGATTGGATAAGGGCTGGGTACAGGTGAGAGAGAAGGGATGGGTACAGGTGGGAGACAAGGGCTGGGTACAGGTTGGATTGGACAAAGGCTGGGTACAGGTTGGATTGGACAAGGGCTGGGTACAGGTTGGATTGGACAAGGGCTGGGTACAGGTTGGATTGGACAAGGGCTGGGTACAGGTTGGATTGGACAAGGGCTGGGTACAGGTTGGATTGGACAAGGGCTGGGTACAAGTGGGAGACAAGGGCTGGGTATGCTTGGGTGCTAACCTAGTTTTATTTATTACAGATGCATTCATTAATTTTTTTTCCCAACCTCTTGAATTGCCCTGAAATATTATGTGTGTTACATGCTTACATATCAGTGTGCGTTGCTATGATTTATTGTTTTGATACACATGACATCATGAGCTAGATCTTCATAAGCACTAGATGTCAAGTGAAATTTCCGGATGTCTGAGAATCTGTTCAAAAGAATAAATTATTATATTATATATAAACAAGGGTAACCCTAGCCTATAAATACTGATACTGGTACATAATCTTTCATACAATACAGTAGAAGCAATATTGAATGTACAGTATCTTGAGTTACATGTTGTTGTGGTGTGCATGACTTGTGCAATAAGGAACAGAAACCATCATTCTGATGCCAGTAAACTTTACTGTTGTGCACTATGTCACTGGACTGCACCATTGTGCACTATGTCACTGGACTGCACCATTGTGCAGCACATAACTAGCTTGCACCAATGTAAAACTGTATGTATGAGCATCTCAGCCAAATGAGTTGTGTTCTTTATTCTATGTACAGCATGCTGTTATTTATTTATTGATTAAAACAATGACTTAAAAGCTCTTATTATTACAAAGAAAGCACATAAAAATGTATTTAATTCAAAACCATGTTCAGAAGTAGTTGTTCGTTTGTATGAAGTTTTATCATCCAGCATTGTTCATATCTTTGTACTGTGTAAAACTGGATGAATATCATGCTGACATAACTTTGTATTGTGACCATTATCTCTAAATAAGCCCCCCAAATGATATGCAGTTGATTTCATGAATTGATATCCCATTAAATTTGTTTATTGTTTACTCTAATAAATGCATTTCTTTGTTCATTTATTCCTGATAATTTTGACAACCTTGTGACTCTTCATCTACTATATAAAGCACTTTGTGACTCTGTTGGTTTGTTGATGGGTAGATTATCAGAATTTTAAAAGCAACCGCCGGCTGGCAACCCAGTTTGACTTGGTCATTGCTTCTGACCTAAGTTCATGGTAAGTTTTCTCTTTATCCCCTTAACCCCAAAACTGTATGTTAAAAAAGAAGCTAAATGTAGAGTGGAAAGAGTCAAACAAATAATAGTATTTTCAAATGGCTTCCAGGGATGTTCAAGCTAATTCTCGTGTACTCATTTTGAATAAGCCTTTATTGAGAACAGTGCAGGTTTCAAACATCTATCAAAGGAAGGGTTTGTGTGTACTTTTGTCTGCTGAATGTTAAATAAAGCTTCTTCTTTATATTAAGGGCCCACGATCAATGTGTGCTTTCAAGAAATTTTTGAAATATTTTTTTTATCAAAGAAATGATTGATGTTGTTTCATGCAATCATGCTCCTTAAGTGTATGGAAATACATGTTGCACACATTCAAGAAACTCATAATATTCACCACTATACTAAACACTTCTAAACACTACAGCTCTTACATTTTTTAACCAATTTTAATTAGACAACTTTTCAATGAACTATTTATCTCATCAGTTATTGAGGATCCCTATGTTAGTGATAAAATAAAACATCATCGTAGAACAAGCTCCCCGCCGGGCCCTTAAAAGATCTGGAGTTACTGTATTTTGTTTTAGACGTTTTGATATTGAAATAATGATTACATAATAGTTATCTTTTAATATATATAAGTTTCTTGATTTTTCTAAGTTATTGTAGAAAGTATGATTACTTTAAGTGTTTTCAAATTATATAACTGTCCTTTTATGTTTATTTAAGTAGGATTTGATGGAAAAAATTTGAAAAAATTTAAAATAAATATTTATCTGAAAGTTTTTTATTGTGCCCCTACTTTAGGAATAACTAAATTAGCACCTTTTGGAAATTATAAATGTGAAAATCTTTGAGAATTTAGATTTGCTTTTGAATCAAAATTTTTTTTCAATGCCCAGCTTAAATATAATTTGAAAACTGAAATGGGATGGGCCTCAATTTAACTGTTTACTAAATTTGTTATAAATGTGGCTTTTTAAATGACAAACTATTACATTTTAATAGGATAATTTAGGGAAGTGTTCCTGACAGGGGCATACATTTCCGTGTATGCTGATTATGCTTTAGAACTTTCGTCAAAATGCAAACCCTAGAAAAGCCAGGCATATTGGCTATTTCCTAATAAAACACATATAGATTAAGGCATGAGTTGAAAAATGTTAATTTTTTTAAAGAGTACTGAGTTTTTTTTTTTGGCTGCATCTATAGGTACCCGGGTACCTTTAATCGCAAATAACTATTCGCACCCGGAGTGGATCCGTACAGATTAAATGGCTTCGGAGCCGAGTGTGATAACAATGATAGTATGAGAATTATTTTTTTAAATTGTTTTTTCTCCTTGTTATTTCATAGATTCATAGTTTTATTCTTTTTAGTTGGTTTTCTTTTTGGCTATGTTAATTTCTCTTAGGACGGGTAGATTTTTTTTCTTTCCTATTTTCTTTTTTAGTTTAAGCCATTTTCGTAGATCATTTTTTTTTTGTAAATCTAGTAATGAAGATGATTTAGATACTAAATGATTTAGATGATTTAGATACTCCACAGCCCCCTTCCTATGCAAGTGCATTGACTTTTTCTCGACAAACTTTCCTGCGGGCGCCCATGGTTGGTCAGCTCTAGTTTGATAGATGGCACTTAATTATTTAGATGCCACCTAAGTTGACTCTGGTTTGTGGTGAGTAAAATGAGAGGCAGTGTTAGTGATTTTATGTATCTGGATGGAACCAAATTGCTCTATTATTCATCTGTTTGCAATGGTGTTTATTTCGCTACTGACATATATTTCATTACTTTCCC